CGAAGGGGGGGGATTTCAGTTTGGCAAGAGCCAATGGTATTCATCGGTGGTTGTGTTTCGCGACAGCGTGCGAAGTGCAAAGCGGGTCGGGTGCAACGTTGTTCTTTGCTCCTTCGGTTCGTTTTAGAACACGTGGTGTAACTGACTACTCAAGTTATACTGGTAATAATCTGTTGTGTCGCTGCACACAGGTGATCGTTCCACCGCACCGCGTGTGGCAATCATTTTTGTTTTTGGAAGGTATCTACGTAGATTTTGATGGCTGTTGCTGCAATAGTAGTTGCTGTAGGTGTCGCACGCAATTATTTGTAGAGGATGCTCTTCTTCTTCTTCTTCTTCTCTCTCTCTCTCTCTCTCTCTCTCTCTCTCTCTCTCTCTCTCTCTCTCTCTCTCTGTAGATGTTTGCGTGGGTCGCATAGTAGAGAGAGAGAAAGAGCGCTCGCGCGGGGGGGTGTTTACGTCGTCAGGTTGCCGACACAGAAATACCATGTAGTGTGTGGGCATGTACACCACGACCCTCCTTCATACCCCGGCAACGGGGTAGACTGTGGAAAGCACGTGAAGTTCTCGTCGCAACGGGGTAGACTGTGGGGAGGTAGGGGGAGTCCGTGGGCCTACCCACCAACTCCCTGGGTAGGTTGGTTTGGGTTGGGTTTTGTGCAGAAAGAACACATGGCCCCTTGGTCGGCGTGGTATGTATGTAAACCACTGCCGAGACCCCCCGTGTCGTTTCAATAGAGCGGTGATGGTGGTTAGTGGTGGGGTGGGGCGCGATAGGGCGGGGGAGACACGTGCGTCATGAGGGTAAGAGCGGACATCTCCACTTACTTTTTCGTTGGCAGTGGGCTGCGGTGGCCATGCCTACTTACTACTCCCATGGCCCTGTGACACGTTTCGATGTGATCCACTGCTCTGTCGTGGATGTCATGAAGCAGACGTTTCTGCTCTTCCGCCAGTGGGCGGCGGTACGATTCATTGCGCGTGGTCCCGACACGCTTTGTGAGGATTCAATATTTGGCCGCTACAGCAGCAGTATCTATCTGCTGCCGCCGCCGATGGTGGTTGCATGTGAACGTGGTTTTTCTCGGGCTAAATTGGCAAAATCTCTCTTGACCCTCCAGGCGGGAGGCCGTGATTTCGGATTAGTTAGGTTAACCGAAGCACGTCGGACGAGCCGAAATAATCAAGCCGCAGGCATCCGTACGCTGAACTTCTGAACTTACTTCTGAAACGTCCTCCCGAGATCAACTCCGCTGGGACTACCGTCGCCGCCGGGTTTGTATGGAGAATAACGCTTTCTTTCGTGAGCGCGATAAAACGACACGTCCCCTAGGAAGACTCACGCAGACACCGGCCGCCGACAACACAAAACGAGAAGAAAAATAGGAGGTCGGCTGTGGAGACAAAAAAACACCAAAGACGGGCTACGGAGCGACAACAGTGGTCGTGACAGCGAACAACGCATCTCGATAAACCGCAGCAGCATATATACCATTCGTCTCTTACTGAGAGGGTTGGAGACCTGCAACCAGCCGCCTTAGAGTGGCTGCATGCGGCGGACTGTTGATTTTGTCGCTGAGGTCTTCTCAAGAAAAAGGAACTTTTCCCCTGGGGCATCGAAAGCGCGCTAGGTAGGCCTTCGACGCCGGTCTGCAATGCACGAACTACTTGACATCGCGAAACCAATATCATTTTCCTTCCGTGTCACCCACAGCTGTACTGCGACGTGCATTCGAGATGCCGCGTCCCGCGTCCGTGTCGAAGACTCAGTGCCACCTTTTCTCAACGTTTTTTTAAAAGGTCGTACTCCACGCCAACACCAAGGCACAAAAACTACAACAATCTACGGCTGCACATCCCTAGCAACAACGCCCCGTTCCCGCCGACAAAGTTAGCCTCAAGCCCTGGAGTCCTACGAACTCGTGCGTCTCACGTGAGCGCGATTCCCCTGGTCTCAACCCAACGCTTCCTTTTCTTGCCTCTCCGGGACCCCAACTGACGGTAAGCAGGCCCGAGCAGACAAGACTAAGGGCAGCTTCGTCGTGGCTTCCTCACCACTTCTGCTACCTCTTGAAGACAACCCAGCGTACGGCTGTAAGCGACACCGAAAAAACAAGTTGCCACAAGACCACGCAAATCTCATCAATCACGTCATTGGGGGCTTGGGTGCTGCCCTAGAAGGCGTGTGAGAGATGTGTACCACCTCGCCAAACTGGTAACAAACAACCCTACGACCGGCCTTCATATTCGCTACTTATATAGCAACCCAGTTGCTCCTGTTCGTGGAATTTTCTTGCGTCGTACGTATGGCTCTCTTATCGCTTTCCCGCCGCCTTTTGCGCCTCCCGCAGCTTCAGCTTCAGCAGCGCCACCTGCCGGGTTGCGCAACCGAACAAGAACGAAACGAAGGAGGAAAGGAAGGCCCCGGAGAGATCGGATCACGTGAGGGAAAATCAAAACATGTACCGAATCAACTTGCCTGGGCGATTGCGACAATGGGGGGGCGAATTGCGGAAGCAAGCATGTTGGGATGCGTGCGTATGCATTTGTTTGTTCCGCTACAACGTAGTGTGGCTTTTTCGGCACTGAGTCTCCGTGGGGCGCGTGTGCGGGTACATGCCCACCGCACACGGTTCTCGTCGAAGACTTGGTTGACCACTCTTCATCTGAATCTTTTAAACGCGACCCTCTCGGGCCGTCGCGTTGCCAACATATCATTTCTATCTCCCAAGGAACATTATTTTTAATTTTTTTAGTTTTCGTTTATTTTCTTTGTTGCTTTTTGGCAACCGGGAGGGACGAGAAGAACAAGCACTTGCGAACGAGCGAGGAAACCTTTAAAAAATGAAGCTAATCGATTGCAAAACTTTCCGCCAAAACACATCTCCTGTCGCGGTACCACACTGAAACGAGAGAGGGAAAGGCATGCAACCTAAAAACTACTGCTGTCACGCTAAATTTACTGCCGAAATACAAAATCTCCTGTCGAGTTAGCATACCATGTACCAGTTTAGCGAGGCACCGACCTTCTTATCCAGGGATAACTTCGTCACACCCGCCGCGGCTCCAGCCTCGCCGCCGGCGCCGGGAGTGGGTGGGATCTTTGCGCCATCCCTGGGCAAGGAAAATGAAAAAAAAAAAAAGAAGTAGGGAGCAAACCGCGGGCAGCATAGAATGCGGCGACAAGTCAGATCTCTTACTTTGGCACCGTATCACCTGGTAGGCCAGTGGGTTCAACACTCCGCAGGAGAGCGGGGACTGCTGTAGGAAATATAACATAAAACATAACAGAAGACGAGGGGGGTGGGGGGTGGGGGGGGGGGGGGGCTCTCGCGTACAGACCCCGCAGCCGAGTAATCCACACAAGTGCCGAGGGTGTCTTTGTGCAAGTGTCGGTCGTTGTTGTTGTTGTTGTTGTTGTTGTCTTCACATAAAAAAACCGTTCCGTTCTCTCTGCCCAGTACCTTCTTCTGTCCGTAAATAGTCCAACACTTGACGGGGTCGATTCCCGTGGTCACCGGCTAACTTACCCAAAAAGAGGTATACGAAAATAAAATGGACCCGAAGGGTAGATAGAGTACACGAAACACCATTTTCGTCGTGGCAATTGTTTGGTGGTGGTGGTGGTGGTGGTGGTGGTCGTGTTGTTGCTGTCTTATTCGATCTTGACGCAAACGAATATCGTGGCTTGTCGTGGTGACGACTCCGATTTGAACACCCGACGGCAACTCCCCAAAGCAGCAGCAGCAGCAGCACCACCACCACCGCAACCATTTCTCCCGCCAAAAATGCAACGCCAATGAGCACGAGAGAACCAACAGCAAAACACGAAGGTGTGAGCCTGCCTGGCTCCAGCTACTCTCCGCCAAGAAACGGAATGCCAAAGTTAAGCAACAAGAGGCGAGACGACGACAGGTCGTCGGGGGGCAGTAACGACGCCTTGCTCACTATCCAGTCCGCTGAACGGCCACAAACAAGAAAGGGCTATCTTGGTTGAGTACATAAAAAGAGTATGTGACATCATGTCAAAACCCTTCCTCTCCCTCCTCTCGTACCCGTAGGTCCCAAAGCTGCCGCTAGTGGCGGTCGACCCCTTGCTGTCAGTGGTGGAGTAGTCCATGCGACCCTTGCCCTCCACCGTCATGAAGCGAACCCGAAGGGGGCGGCCGTACAGCTTCCGGCCGTGGAGCGCTCGGATGGCCTTGGCCGCGTCGTCGACGTTGGAGTACTCCACGAAACAGAACCTTCATTTCGTCACATCAGCAATAAAAAATAACAGGTGCAATTTGTGCGTTTGTGGGGTGACAGGAACAGTGGATAATCTGGATCTCTTGTCATTACAAGGACTAACGGTCCGAGAGGAGAGCAAATGTAACATGGCCGTTGGAGTACTCAACGAAACAGAACCTTTAGTTGGCCACATCAGCGACAAAAAAACTCAGGTGTACTTTTGCGTGTGTGTAATTTGTGGATCTTCTGAACATCTTGGTCACTCGAAGGACTCACGATCCAAGAGGAAGAGAGCAAATATAACATACCGGAATTTGGCCACCAAAAAAGACAAAATGGACTGAAGGGACAAAATTCAGAAATCTGCACACACCACTCACTCACCCTCTGGGCTCGCCGAGTCTTGGCCCCACTTTGTGGTAGCAGAACTGCTCACGCACCACCTTGCCGAACGGCGTGAAGAGCTTGATGATCACGGCCTCCGACACCCTGATAGCATTGACACCGCGGCGCGACAGGCGTTTGAACTCCAATTCAACACATATGGCATCGACGTTGTCGTTGTCGTTGTTGTTGCTGCTGCTGCTGTCGTCTCAATTAACAAGGTTTCCAGACAAAATATACATTCTCCGCAATTACAAATACTTTGAACCCCCCAAAAGATGACAATTGCAGAGAAAAGGAGCCAGCGCAAAGCCCCACAATTCGCGAAGAAACAAGACCTCCTAGTACCACAAGCTCAGTAGAGGACGCGGGGGGGAGCTCGTACAATTGTATCTAGATACACACAGATCGCAAATTGTTTTCGTCGGAGGAGGAGGATCAACAATGGGAAACAGGCAACAACAGCTCGGTCGCGTCGCCATCACCAACAGGCAGCATATAACACAAAAGGACCGGACAACAGCAAAGACTAGGGACTCCAAGCCCACCTGTAGCTGAGGTTTCCCACGAAAAGGGTCTCGTTCGGAATCCCTTCCACGTCCGGGGGGGGAGCTACCTCCTCTTCCCCCGCCGCCGCCGCCGCTCCCTTGCCCGGCCCAGCCCCAGCCTTTGCCCCGCCTGCTCCTGCTCCCGCCGCGCTACCACTACCACTACGACTTGAGCTGCTGCTGCTGCTGCTGGCTGCCGGAGCATTCCTATCGCCATCTTTAACCTCTGTTGTTGTCGCCGCTGCTCCTGCCACCGCCGGTTTCTTGGAGGACTGCTGTGGGTTGCTGTGCGAAGAAGAGGAGGGGGGGGGGGGGGTCAGTGATGTGCGCGTTGACAGCGTTGCTCCTGCTGCCGCCGCGTCCCGCAACTGGAGAAAAATTAATCATTTGCACAGAGCTTGCATTCCTCAATAGAAACAGAACTGAAGAGCAAAGGAGCAAATATATCGGGGTCGCGCTCATGAGAACTACTATTTATGTCCGTGAAGAGATGGGTGGTTCTGCGGTTCTATTTTTGATTGTCACATCGGGCTTCAAACTCCGTACAGCAGTCGCGGCTCCGAATATTAGGGGGCCGACATAGGTTGTCATGAGGATTCGACCCTCCGTAGCATAGATGGGTACCCTCCTACTCCGATATAAGAGGGGGCTCTGGCATATGACGGTCGAGGGCCCGCGTCACACCACCCTTTTATATCGGAGCCACGACGGCGGTACCTCGAACCCCCGAAGACCCAAAGGGTAACAAGGAACTATAACACAGTACATCCATAGGCCCCGGGGTCGACCCCGACAAAAACGCTTTGTTGGGAGTAGTTGCTAGTTGCAAGGTCGGCGGGGTGCATCACAATCACACTACGCTGTCTGTACCTGGTGCCAGGTAGATGGCACAGGTGAGGGTAACTGCGGCATGATTTCGTATTCTGAGGAACGGAGATGGGGAAAAGATAGAATCGTTCCCAGCGCTGTCACGCAACAAAGAGACAATATTTGAGAAAAGTCAGATGCGCCATCTCACTCTTTCAATTGCCGACCCTCTTCAGAGAAAAGGGAGTGCTCTGTTGAGACCGTTCAGTCGTCAGCCAGCACGCCCAGGTCTACTGGCCCCGCGGCTTTGCAGCTGAATAGACTTGGTAGAGGCCTCCACCCCAGTCGTATCCCAGGATCGCCTGCGGTGGCAGCTTCACAGCAACCTCTGTTTTTTTTTTCTCTTCGGCATATCCACACACCATCCACCCGTGATGAGTACCCTCAACATCAACACATGGCCACGGCCACACCACCCTCCAGTGTCGAAGAAATCGGCAAGGTCGTCTCTGTCTTGGGGCGACGGCAGTGTCTTCGTCTGGCAGACCCAGAAGATCGCCATCCCCGCGGGCGGCGCGCTGCGCCCGGCCTCGGGCGCCACCGTCGACGAGCTGCATAGCTTGTGCACTACCTCGCCGCTGCGGGTGGTGCTCCTAGCCCCCCGGCACTTCTGTCCCTCGCAGTCAAGGCCGCCGAAGGCACCAACCTTTCGGCGGAGGAGATTGCGCAGCGCCAACGCCGGGCCATCCTGCAAGCTGTGGTCGAATACCTGTGGCGGTGCGAGGGCCATGGTGGTCCCTTGATCGCCGGAGAGTACCTGGTCCTTCCCGCTGTTCCCGCTGCCGTTCCTGCTGCTGCTACCCCTGCCGCATCTACACCCACCGCTGCGGCTGCGGCGCCTGCACCCGCCGTCGAGGACGACGCGGGGAGTGTCGCCAGCGACGCGGGCGGCAAGCGCAAGTTGGACGATATCATCAGCGTCCTGGACGACATGTCCGAGCGGGGGAGCCTGGCGGAGGCCCTTGGGCAGGCGGGCGGAGCAGCCGGCGACCTAGCAGCGAAGCGCCCTCTCACTTTCGTGAGCATTCCAACCACATGTTACCCCCGCCCTTGCTGCTGGCTCCATTTACAACCTTCGCTAATTCAAAAATGCCCTATCGGTTTCTCAACTCGGCGCTGTACAGCCCCTGCAACACATATCCTCTACCATACTTTGACATCATAGTCAGGTTGGATCTGGGGCAGATCGTTTTCTAGCCGAGCGGGCAAACCGCACCGCCAAAGTTCGCTCACAACTCGTGGGAGGTGACATCCTAAGCGAAACACAAGCGCGCAGCTCCACCGTCGACCTTTCAAACACGGCATCGCTTCTGCTCAACAAAACTGCACCGCACCAAGCTCGGATGTGGGTGACAGACGACTTTGTGCCGGCACACCTGCAAACGGCCGTCTCATACTGGCAGGACGTTATTTTGCCAGCCACTCCGGCGGGCGAGCGGGACACGCTTTTGGGATGAGAAAAGGGTGTCAGCGTGTACGATTTCATTGACCAGGACGCACGGGGCATATTTCAAGGCCACAAGTATGACGGTTCCGACCTTACGTCCGTCACTTGCCCAACCATGCTCCAACTGAGTACCACTCGTGGGTCACCACCGAAGTACACGCCCTCGTGCGGAATGGATGCGTTGCTCGATGGGCCGATGTAGCGGATGCGGACGTTTGCAGCAAACCGCACATGGAGTTGCCCCTGGGAGTGGAACCCAAGAAGCCGAGGTTAACATGGGACGCACGATGGCTCAACCTAATGTGCCTGCATTCCCCTTTTACCATGGACGGGGTCGGGAAAGTAGCTCAGTGTGCTTGTCGTGGGGCACACCAGGTCACCATCGACCACAAAGCGGGGTACCACCATGTCGCGCTGCAACCTGATTCCTGGCAACACTTTGGTTTCGAATGGAACGGCGAGTTCTATGTGTTCACGGTGCTCTGCTTCGGTTGGTGTTCGGCGCCTTTCATTGACTCCTCTCTTTCCGAGGCGGTAGCCAGGTACATCCGGTCACAGGATATTCCGGTCCTGACATGGATCGATGACTTTTACATGACGAATTTCCGTTCCACTCGCCTTTTGCAGTCCACGGAACAGTTTGAGGCCGCCCAGGCGGCGGCTTACTTGGGGCTAGAAGTGTTTTATCGCGCTGGGTATTTTATCTCAATCCCCAAATGTGTGCTCAAGCCCACTACACGCCTGGTGTTCCTTGGTATCATTTGTGATTCCGGTGAGTGCCGATTTGAGGCGCCAGAGGATAAGTTAGAGAAGCTTGAAGCGATCTTAGTCGACGCTATAGAGTCAAACGCTATTTCCTTTCAGATCCTTGAGAAGCTTGCGGGCAAGTGCACGAGCCTGTCCGTGGCTGTTTCCGGTGGCGGCTTTATACACGCACCACATGCACAAGCAGATCGCCGGTTCCCAACGCACCGGGGGGCGGAAACGCACCACGGAGATTTCTGTACCTCCGAACAGCGGTCTCATGTTTCGAGTTACAGCGGGGGCTGGATGTTTGGACGCAGTTTAACGGAGCGTCGTGGTACCGGGCCGAACATAAGGCGGTGTCCTTGACGGGGGCGTCGGATGCATCCTCTACCGGATGGGGCGGTGTGATCCGCGGTGGCTAGCCCGGACGTGTTTGAAGCAGGGGGTGATTTTCCGCCGGAGTTAGCGAGCCAGCATATCAATGGCCAAGAGGGGTATGCTATACACAAGACATTGCAGCTGTTCTGTACGGACCACCCCGGCCGCATTGCGGGGTCCACTCTCGTTGTCGACGTGGACAAAAAAGTCCTGCACGATTATTTCAAGCGCGGTCGGGCACGAAATACGCGCATGCATGCTACGATTACGGACCTCTGTTTTGGTTTCAAGTTCGACATGATTTCACGCGCGAGTTACGATGGCTGTGCTCCGCGGACAACTCTGAAGCGGATGGTATGTCGCGGTCCGGATCAGACGAACATGTAAGGTTGGACGAAGCGCGATTTGGCGACTTACGCGCTTGGGGCGGGTGGTTTTGACATGGACTTGATGGCCACGTCAGCGTCTGTACATAAGGTATGGCTCGAAGGGAGATGAACGGGGCAAAACTTGCCGTTCTACTCGCGGTATCACACTTCAGGCAGTGCAGGGGTGAACGTGTTTAGCCAGGACATTAAGTGTATGCCGGAGTCGAAGCAGATGTGTTTCGGTTTTTGCTTCCCTCCGAAGAACCTGGTAGGAGTGATGTTGCAACACCTCGATGCGAAGCAAGGGCAGTATTGGTAGTGCCGGACCAGAAACAGTCGTGGTTTCCGAGGCTGGCGAGCGCCGTAGTGCGATCCAAAACCCTTTCTGCCCCGGGCGGGAGTTCGCCCTCCTTTCGTGTTCACCATTGGAGAGGGTAGGAGCGTTTGTATTTCAAGAAATGGGGAATGATTGCAGTTGAGGTCGATTTTAGGTCACCTTTTTGATCAAAGTTTCTTTTCCCACCATTTACCGTATGTGTCGGCGGTTCTTTGTACCACACGGCTATTTGAATGCATTGTCAGGCTCTGAAGGTCATATATGCCGCCATTAGTCTCGTCATGAACATCTTGGGTACTCTGCTCGTCCCTGTACGAGGAACATGGGGAGAACAAGGACGCGTTCGTACGCTTGTGCGAGTGTCAGCATCGAGGGGCAGAGTGCTGTGTCCAGCTTGTAACATTGAAAACGATGAGAGCTTACCGCTATTGTCAGTGGTCCTGGGAGTTCAGGGATAAGCGATCACCAAAAGGTGCACAAAGACGCGCCGCTGCAGGTCGACGAGAAAGCTCTGTCGCACCGATACCTGCAGCTTATCACCACCGCTTGGTCAGAGAAAGCGTCAACCAAGAGTAGATCAGCGACGTGGAATATTTTTGTTCGATTTCTTGAATCCAGGTTCGATCGCGAAACTACCTCCATCGAGGCAACCAAGCCTAAAGACGTCGTTGAGTTTCTCTGTTGGCTAGATTCCTGTGGAGCCCGACGCCGCACTGTGATTCATGCGCGTTCCGCGGTTGGTACAAAGGATCTTATCGCATGTTCAACTGAGCCGGGAGCATGCAGTCTTCGACACGCCTATGATTCGCTCCGGTCTAACTATGTGTCCAATTGGCTATGGTGTTTGAGAAGGAGTTGGGGATCGTGGACTCATGGAGCAGTACATTGCACGTTGGAAACCCGGTTCGAAGCGAGATTGTTACCCGATACATGTAATTTACTACGGAGGAGCAGAAACGGGCAGGAGTGCTGGATAAAGCAGGCGCCGGCGATCCTCTGCAGCCATTTAGACGCGATCTTGAGGCCTATGAGGGCGACGCTCCAAAACACCGCGTCAAAGCTGGAACGAATCACATTGGCTAGAGACATCGCCTTCTTCACAGCGTAGCTTTTAGTAGTACTACTAAGCGGGGCAGTGAGCTCACAGCGACACTTATCCAACGTATCTTGCGCCTGTTGAATAGAAGCGGACTCATGTTCAACTTCCAATGGGGGAAGAGCCAGCGTGACGGGGCGGATCATGTGCTTAGTATACCCCACGACGATGGGTACGTGGCGATGCGATATGCCCTGTTCGAGCAGTAACACAGCTGGTAGAGGTTGGGCAAGGAGTCGGCTGGGACATGACGCAGGGATATTTTTTTTCAGACATCTCAGCAGGGCGCAACGGAATGTCGTCGAGGGCTCCTTTGCCCATTACGGCACCAAAGATGGCTACCACCCTGAAGAAGTACGCGCAAGCAGCCGGGCAGAAACAAGGGTTTTCGTTGCGTTCGTTTAGGTCCGGGGGAGCTACCACTCGCGCTCATTAGGGAGATTCTTTGTCGGATATTATGCAAAAGGCATACTGGAAGGACCCGAGGACGGCCTGGCGGTACACGAGATTGATGGAGGTAGTCGCTCCAGGTTCGGAGGGATCAAGTATGGTCCGGGGAGTGACGGAGGAGCAAACCGGGAGCTCAACGAGTTTCCCTTGAGCGAACAAACCCGGTCACTGGCAGCGTTTAGCGGTCGGTCGTTACTGCAGCAGGAGCGAAGGGAGATATGAATGTATGATTCTGTTCAAACATGGAGTATGGGATTGTTTAGGCCCTGCGAGGATTGTTATCAACCGCAGGTCTTGGAAGTAAGGGAAGGAGCGGATACACCGGCCCTGTGGGAGGTGATGCCACTGTTTGATCCCATACTGTGTGTGGAGAAGAACTGACGTGATGTACACTGCTGTATTCTGTAAATTTCAGTGGGGGCTCTTTCGCCTTTCCGGTACCTAGTTCCACGGGTCCCATACATCCTCGCCAAGAGCTTCCGACAACTACTCGTTCAACCTTGACGCCTTAACAACCCCGTCTAGTTCGCTCGCGCTTGTCGGGAGTCGTGCACGGGGGTGATGTACTCCGTCTCATGGCACAGCAGCGACCAACAGCGGTGATGCTGCCGTAGAGTCTACTTGTACCATTGCACCATTGCACTACTATAATGTACTATTGATTGTGCCATACTTCCTGTACATGACACCGGGTGAGGGCAACGAAAAGCTTGGATTCTTCCCTAACGGAGACCCTTCTTCAAAAACAACATCAACTGCCCTTGCACTCCTCGCGTAGAGGGAGACGGAGGTGTTGCAAAGGTACAGTAATCATCAACGACGAGTCGCGACTACTGCTGTAGATACCTTGATGTGGCATCCACCGCACTCCCTCCGGCTGGGACCTTTTCGCCTTTCCCTTCCACCGACCGTGCCGGTTGTTCCTTTCCAACCATCGAGGGGCTAATTTCTTCTCTGGCGCGCTTCATGGTACGTACGGTCGTTGGGTACACTTGTGCAGACAGCAGGCAGCAGGCAGGCAGGTGGCCGCGTGGGCAAGTGGCGAGAAAGGGGCTCCGTGTTGAAAAAACGAAAGTAGACCCCCCCCATCAATTATCCAGATTCTACCCCCCCCCGGACTTCGAGAGAGAGCACAGCATCACATAGGAGATAGCGCAGGCCAAGAAGCAAGGTAGCAGGAGCCGAGAACCAGGACGCAACTGCCACTCACCGAGAGGAAAGAAGGGTTGGCTGCGAAACACAGCGAGCGGAAGCCGCGGTTGGAGATTGGTTTGGTTGGGCGAGGTGTCTCGAGAGGGATAAAGCTTGCTGGAACAAGATGAGCAGCACCGGAGCAGGGGTGAGAGTCCTGTGCGTGTTAGGGCAACCAAAGCAGATCACAACGGCTGTTGCTGTTCGTGCACCGCAACCATATAAAACCACCGACATGTGGCCTTGTTTTGCGGCATTTGTGTTCGCGAGTGTTGGTTGCTATGACCGTTTGACGCGGAGCCGCGGGACATGGACTCTCTCCCGTCTCACCGGCGTATCCATGACACGGAGGATGCTACACGAGCTTCTTGCCTCCAACGTGTGCTGCTCTTTCCGTCGACGTCTTGCAATGTCTGTAGAGGAGACCGTGCTCCTCTCTGGTGTTATTTTGAGCCGTGATCGAGGAACCCCGAGTGTCGCTTGTGTTGCCGGATCGTACTTTTCGAAGGAGTCTGTCTCTCTTGGGTGAATCAAACGCGGCGGCTCTTCGGAGATCCTTTGTTTCTTTGCCCTTCCACCAACGACATCCAGCTTGCAGCTTACAAAGGCTTGCGAACTACTAGACTGCCTTGTACTGCACCCTAGGTTGGACAGCTGCTGTATCGTTTTTCCTGTGCAATGCGTCCGCGCCCTTCCCCTTGCCCTTATCATCAGAGTTGGTTTGATGTGTTGGTGGCATAGAGACACGAGCCTGCGCGTACAGCGTACAGCGGTGTGTCGCCGCGACTTGCACAACGCCACACCGAGTTTGACCTCGCGAGGAACATGGTAGCCGGACCGAAGTTCCTGCTGGCTCGTTCGATACGGTCAGTATCCTCTCTAGTCACCTCTGAAGCATGGGAACTTGTAGACCACGTGGGTATGTTATCCACAACGAGCGATGGACCAGCCATTGACTCCATACGGATGCTTATGTTTTCCACATAGTCCTTTGCGCCTCCAGCGAGGTTAAAACGTTTGCTCTGGAGGCCGAAGAAGACATTTTCCGGTTGTTAAAAAGTCTGCTCGCGCGATTTCCCGAACTACAACTGTCCATGGGGGGCGATTCCACGCTTGACACATTGTTGACCCTTGTTGTTCTTCGTTGTGTTTGCGCCACTGCTGCTCCTGCTGCTACTTCGTTCCAAAACATGGGGGGATGGAAAACACGGATGGATGAATCAACTCGGCCGGGACTCGATTGTGCGCGCTTATGTGCCAGTACGACCTGTCGGCGACGACCTTCTCGCCAGATGGGAAGATCTTTCAGGTACATACATGTATTCAGTTGCTGTATGGCTTGGCTAGATAACCGAGCTGAGGTCGCTCTCTAAGGTCCTGGCTATTAGATGGGGTCGTGCCGTACAGCCGTCTCGGTTGAAATGGTTCGCTGCCGTTGTTTGCGGCGGACGGCAGCTCTTGCCGCGACAGAATACCAAAATAACTCCTGCTGTACTGGTGGCTAGTTCAATGGCTCGACAGGGATGGCACGGCAACAGCACCGGATGAACGGAGGCATCAGCGTGTTGCACGGTAGGGTCTGGGCCCTCACTGCGACAGGGACGCAGCAGTGCGAAGAACGGCACTGAGTTTTTTTACTTGCCAAGTCAACATCGCAGCGGTCATAGCGGTACGGTTCGGAAGTTGGCTCCCTGTCGCAAACCTTGCAATGAGAAGATGCGCAAGCGCATCCAAATGAGGATGTGATAATACTCATATCGTGATCGGTCTCTGACTGCGTTCACTCGGTAAAATTGAACACAGGTGGAGTACGCCACGAAAGCGGTAGAAAACTCGGGCACCGCCATGGGAGTGCGCTGTAAGGACGGAGTGCTGCTCGCGGTGGAGAAGCTCTTAATCTCCAAGATGCTCGTGGCGGGATCCAACAGGCGAGCCAGTGACGAAACCGATTTTTTTGTCGTGTGCTTTGTACGAAACGGCCGAATCCTCGGCGTTTGTCTTGACTCTTTCGGGGCACTCCCGAGTGAAGCGCGCGCAACACAGGTCCCCTACTTTAGTGTAAGCTTTACGTCGTTTTCGCCGTTTTCCATGTCTGCCCTCTGAATTGTCATGGCCCCACGTCTTTCTCGACGCTCCATTCCACCATTCTGTGTCAGAAGCTTTGCACCACGTGAGAACAACCGGTATGTGTCTTCGACCCTCGTCCTACCGAACGTGTATAACCACCAATGCCTCGATTGTGTGTCCGCATTGAGAGTGGTACGGCGATACCATCATGTTCGTCTCCGGACAACGTTTGGCTCACTACTATGTTGTGCACTTGAACATTAACATTCACTACCACTAGTGAAATCCTTTATCATTGTTTGTCCTCTCTGTAGTATACCTCACCTGGACTATTTTATTTCCCTCTGGTCGATGCTACCCATAGCGTCGGCCACGCACATTTTTTCGTCGAAGGCTACCTGCTCATTCCGCGTGCATACATTTATCATGCGTTCGTCCGATTCATTCGTTCTAATACTACCGTTGAGCGTCTGTCTTGAACTTATATCTCAAAGGGGCTCTGTCGGGTTCATCCTTTCATAGTACCCCTCAACAACTCTCTCCATAATCTACCGTTCAACATATAGATATCTGTCTTCATCATCTACCGCGAACTATCCGTCTTCGTCTTAACAGTATTTTGTTTTTTGTGATACTACAGCAGTATTGAGCGTGCTGTATTCCTTGTGCACCGCCCTCCCGCTCCCTGCACCCGCACCCCCTGCCAACGAAGAAAACCATCATAACCACCGACGACCTACAGCAGGATTCTGTTTCTTGCCAACGCCATGAAACGTTTGCCCTTGGTGCACCCCCCTCAATTTTCCTGCCGACTTGTATACACAACAACCGGGAGGCGTCCCTCACGATCGTCATCCATGCTGACGACAAGGTCGAGAAGCCAGCGGAGGTAGGGCGCGACACCTCGCAGGAGGCAGAATCGGAGGCGAGGGCTTCGCGGGAAGCAGAAAGGTTACGACGCCTGGGGAAGCCCATGGGTCGACGCTGAATCGAAGAAGTTGCGCCGAATACTCGAGAGCGGCATATCCGCCGGAAAGAAGGAACGTCTTCACAGTGGGGCACGTGATGCACAAAGGAGACCGAGCTCAGCGATGCTATTCTGGGGGTGGGGAAGGGCGCGACTCGGCTGTGAACTCCAGTCCCGCCCTTGCCCTCCCCGAGCATCATTCCGCGCTCGGCCTCCTCTGTCTCATCACGTTCCCCACTGCTGTGCAGACGAGCCCTTCTCCTTTGCGGCGGAGATGCCCTCAAGTACTTGGCGTACATCCCTTCGGCGTTGGTCGCCCCTGCCTGGCCTTGCCGTAGGCGTCCCTTCTCCGCTTGCCGCGAGACCATCATCGCCGATGACCCTGCCTCCTCCGTGGCCTCGTGTCCTACCTCAGCTGGCTTCTCGACCTTGTCGTCAGCATGGATGACGATCGCGAGGGCCGCACGTGCGGACGAGCGCGTGCGCGGGGGGCTATTAGTCGAATCCGCTCCTATTCGCGTGCCCTGACCCCTCACCCCTTACACGTATGCGTACAAGTACACCCCTTTCATGTGTCCGGGTCTCTTTGCTCGAATCACGCTCAGACAAGGGTCCTGACTGCTCCGTTCAGCTCTTGCCCGTGGCATGCTGCCCCGTTTTGGGGGTGCTCAGATGCGCGCACTCACAACAGCTCGGACACCCCCGCCCACCCGCCCGGCACGATTGAGTAAACAACTCTCAGACGTAGGCCACACGCGAGCTTGGCCCGACCACGGCGTGTTGCGCCGTGGCGAAAAAAGAAAAAAAATGACCGGTGTCCTTACCGAACACAGCCTTCTCCCACCTGACTCAGCGTCTCGAAAATATCCTTACCCAAAACTGTCTTGTTCCACCTTACCCGCCGACTCAGTATCTCGAAAATATCCTTTCCCAACACTGCCTTCTCCCACCAGACCCGACTCAGCATCTCGAAAATATCCTTACCCAACACTGCCTTCTACAACCTGACCCGCCGACTCAGCATCTCGAAAATATCCTTACCCAACACTGCCTTCTACAACCTGACCCCGCCGACTCAGCATCTCGAACATGATGCAATCATGTACGCGCCACCGCCGCCGCCAACGTGTACGTAACGCAGACGCGTGCACGTGGGTTTCAAAGCACGTGGGCGTGGCCGTCAAAAAGAAAAGAATCCGCCCCTTGCCCTTACCGAAGACAGCCTTTTCCCACCTGACCCGACTCAGCATGTCAAAATTGACTCGATCGTAAACACGCCGCCGACGTGTACGTAACGCAGACGCGTGCACGGGGTTTCAAAGCACGTGGGCATGGCCGTCGCCGGCCTCAGCGCCGACGCCCGGCAGATCGTGTACCGCGGCCGCGACGAGGTGGCGGGCTACATCGAGAACTACGGCTCCCAGATGCCGCCGTCCATGCTGGCCGACCGGCTGGCGCAGTACGTGCACTACTTCACCCTCCACGGCTCCCTCCGACCGTTTGGGGCGTCGGTTCTTGTCGCGGGGTGAGTCGTCTTCACAGGGGGGGGGGAAGTGTTCTGGTTGTCTGTTTGCTTGCGTTTTGGTTGTCGAGGTTGTTTTGTGGCGCCTTACAGGTCTGGTGGCAGTCTGTCACAAGTGGTACAGCACGTGGATTGGTGTGATCCATACAGCAGTGTCGATGGGCCTGACAGCGGTGGTGCTGACGTTAGAAGCGCGCGGCTGCGGGTAGCTGCAACTTGCAGCCTTTTTTGACTCGAGCGCTCTCGGGGTGCTTTCGCTTTTGCAGAAAAATGTCTTCTCTTCCGCATTGTGGTTGTCGCGACTACACAGCTGCTCGCCTCTTACGTATCACGACGCTTGTCTCTCCCGCGTTTCTGACTGTCGTCCTTCGTTGCTTGCTTGCAGCTACGACGTGGAGCTGAAGAAGCACGAGCTCTACGTCGTCGAGCCGTCTGGGGTGATGTACCGCTATTTCGGGGCGGCCGTCGGGAAGGGGCGGCAGGTGCGGAGAACCACGAACACAAAAGCAGTATAGTGCTTCCTCGGCTGCTGCTGCAGCGGTACTTTTGGCGGGGTGTTGTTCCACGCCATACGCTTGCTTCACAGGCTAACAGATAGCACCAATGAAGTGTAGTGTGGCTTACACATGTGTGTTGTGCTTTTTTTTTTGTGGTCAAGTTGTCCGAGGTGGTAGCCGCCGGAGAATCAAACAAGAAAGGCCATTTAACGCACACCGAGCCAAACAATTTTCTAAACACGCCGACCCATCCAATCAGCCAGCGTTTTGATGCCGGCTACAGTAGATGAGTGCTTTATTTTTTTTTATCGGTCGCCACCCACCGCATACACGGAAGGTTGAAGGAAAACCAAGGGAAGGCCTAAATCAGCCTCGGGTTATTGTCAGTTTTCTCAACCAATGACACATGCTAATCGAATTCTGCGGAATAATCCCCAACTTCCCTGCTTGAAGGTTTTGGTCGTGCATAATCCCCCTCCCCCCCAATTTTTCGGTTTGCTCAGGCAGCAAAAACGGAGATGGAGAAGTTGAAGTTCGACGACATGACGTGCAAGGAGGCTATGAAGCAAGTCTGCAAGATGTGAGTTTCTACAGGCATAAACACCACACCACCAACTTTGGGAGCACGCATCCGACGGGGCGAGGAAAAATGCGGTGCCACCCAGTGCGAGACGCAAATATCTGAAGTTATTGAGACGGACTGTATGTGTGTACCAACAGGTTGGCACGTTGTTTTCTTCCCAGGCGGGAGGCACTTGAAACCACATGTGACGCGAAAGAGGCTTGTCATGCTGCACGATGCACGTGTGTGTGTCAGTATTGTGGCGTTCCAGACGAAAAAGGGAGACGTGTCGAGTGTCGATTCGAAATCCCCTTTCTTTGACACATTTACGGCCGCCTTCCCATACCTTAGCCGTTGCTCGCAAATGGTTTCCTCCGGTGTGGCCTTTCCTCTTTATCTGAGCTGTTGAGCTCCGATCCGGGCCCACATAGAAGAATGCATTCCTTTGCGGTTCACGTTGGTGGTTCTGGGTGCATAGTTTTGTGGGGACGCAGACCCGGGGTCTCTGTTCCACGCGCGGTAGGCTTTTAAACAAAACCACACGAAACACTGCTGTGGTATCTCTCTCTTTCCCCTCCCCACGTAGATGTATACTATAAGGTACTGGTAAGAGGAAAGCAACAACTCACATGAACGTCAAACCGCTCAAAAGCAAATGATGGCAACGAACATGAAGTTAACAAATTTTCGTAGGGGCCGAAATGACTGAACGACAAGGTTGATGTCACGTATGCATATGACGGTTGTGTCATTCCTAGGCATGCAACCGTTGAGTTTGTTCGATGCGCCAAGGTGTTTGTAGTCATGGCGCCGACACAACTACAATTGTAGAAGAGTTAAGCTCTGATGTACTGGAAATTGTTGCGCCTTTGACCGCTTTTTGCACCACGATGGCCTGCTTCTTCTTTCCTGGTCAGCGGCCGGGACTAACGTAACTCATCTTATGATGGAGAATTGTATTGCTCTGTGCAATTGGGATACAACCGTGGTCATAGTGCCAAACAACGAATAAGTACCCACCCACACACACACGCTGTGATATCGATAGGATAGGAAAAACACTTTCGCGCCCCTTTTGGCAAAGTAGGAAGGAACGATTGACCATCGGTGATCGATCCTAAGGGAACAAATGCTCCATCCTCTCGAGGACGCGTGGTCAAGGTCTAACAACTAAGTATACGCCTCCCCCAACTCTCGATGGTTTTCGTCACTTTTGGCTCAGTCTTCACGTGCTCCACGACGAGGCTAAGGACAAGCCGTTCGAGCTGGAGATGTCTTGGGTGTGCGAGGAGAGCGGGTGGAAGTACCAGGCCGTGCCACAAGCGCAGGTCAAGGAGGCGGAGGAGTGGGCGAAGGAGTCCATCGAGTCGGACGAGATGGACGATGACGAGGACTAAGAGTTTTTAGATTTTGGATGAAGGCTGACGATCAGACCCTTCTTGCTTTCAATCGAGAGGGTAGATTAGGCTTGTTTTTGTTTTCGCGCACATGTTTTTTCTTTTTTGGTATCTTTGGCGAAAATGAGCTTTGACCGCGGAGGGGCAGGAGAGTCGTGGCGAGAGGAGTAGACGACACCGTTTTTGGTGGTTGAAACACCCCCAGCGTTGCTGCTTGTTCGTATGCCGTGGTCGTGCTGATTGCCACTGGCGGGAGCGTTTTGGTGTGGCAGCACCGGCCTGGTAGCGTCTTGCGTGCGTTGCTCTCTTAACTCGCCGTGGTGAAGATGCTGTCGACAACGCCACCTTATTCTCGCAATGTTGGTGTCAAAACCGACGCTATTACGCAAGCAAACATACGCAAATCGCAACTGTCTGCTTGCGGCGCTTGGGTCTGTTGCATCGCACTAGTCCTTTAGCGCCATCAACCGAAAAAACTACACCACAATGGCGTACACCCCAAGATGGACGAATCCAAATCGGGAAACACGTCTTTCCTCTCTTTCGGTTCGTCAGAACAGCCCCGCCCTCAGACCAGCAGGAAATCTCATCGTGAACACGATACAAGCGTTTTCCTTGGTCTACTTGCTCAAAACAGCCCGAGGAATCGTCGCCTTCCCGGGTGCTTTCGGCGCAGTTCCTTCTGCTGTCTGCGAAGCTCCCGAACCGCCTCCTCCACGTCGTCAATCTGCGCACGCAAGGTACAGCAACATCATGGGACAATGGGTGTGCAAACCATCAGTGCGGCTACACACGAGCCAGAGAAACACGGGTGTAGCGTCATGGGATCATCGGTGTACAAAAATCATCCGAGCTGCTTTACACGAGCTAAATTTAGAGAAACACGATATGCTGGATGGGTTGGTGGTACACGTTAGGTCGGTTCCATAAGCCCGTCGGCGCGGTCTCGAGACCCGAGCTCACTCCGTTTTCGAGGGAAATCCATGCGATCACGGCACAATCTCCTCTTGTCGGTCTACTTTGAAGGTTACTCCCCAAGCTTCGACTGGGCAGAGGTGCACGCGCGGGGCTTAAATGGGTTCCGATTCGAAGAAGTCTGCTCGAAAAGCCGGATTCGCAATCAAAGGCCGAGTTGAACCGCGAAAGTCACACGAATGGTAAAAAGCCACACCCGAGAGGCCGTCAGCCCCTCTCTTCCCCGCCGAGCGAAAAACAAAATTCGGAGCAAATGGCAAACGCGATTCGTTTTCTCACCGAGCGTACGCCCGTTAGCTTGTCCCTTTCCAACGCCTCCACCATTTCATCAAGGTGCTGGATCATCGCCCGAGCTTGCTCCGCGTTGGACATTTTCTGTGAATAGGGGGGGGCGGGGGGCGGGGGGTCACTGCTGTGTGCATTCACGATTATTCGAAAATACTGCATTGGTTTGGTATTCCGAAGGACGCAACGAAGTCATGCGACAAACAAGAGGTAGAAAGGGATGATAGAGAAAAAACAGGAGTGACCCCGAGAGCAAGGAAAAAAAAAGGGCACCAGGGGAAAGCGACGGCATCAGGAAAACGTGCGCTGGTCGTGCTACCTCATACACACCGCGTGCCTTTCTCCTTTCGATCTTGGGGAACAAGGTCACAACATGCACACCGCGCCTGGCCACCACGCCAAACCTTGATCGGTCGATACACGACAGAACGCACGATCAAATCGCCCGGTAATTCCATCCAGACCGTACGGAAAAAAGAAAAAAGCCTTGCAGGCTTGGTGACGGCGTAGCAACTCAGACGACGACGTCGTCGGCAACAACCTCACCCCTACCACCAGTGGCATCCGCAGGCAACAGTTGCGCCAACGTGACCCGAGGACAAACTGCCCATCCGAGTACAATGATGACGCATCGATGACGGCGGAAGGATAGACAAACGTCGAAGGCACCTACCTTGGCGGAAGACCCCCTCGCCGCCCCCACGGTACCCACGGACGAGCTGGCAGCAGCGCTGCCGCCGCCGCCGGCGGAACCAGCCCTCGCCGAAGAGCTGCCGGACGATGACGCCGACCCCGCTACCGTCGCCAGTGGCGCCGGTTGTCTAGCCTGCTCCTGTTCCAGGGCGGCGATGTCCCACCACGAGCGGATGTTGCACGCGGCCACGTCTCTTCTAACGGCCGCGGCGACGCCGCTGCTGGTGTTTGCAGAGGTCGCCGAGTACGGGGAGCTGCCCTCGTGTTCGTAACTGCTGGCGCTACTGGCGCCGCTACTGCTAATGTCCCACGTGGCCGGTATCTGCCCTGATTGTGCCTGGGGGATGGAGAGGGGGAGGGTGGTGGTGGGGGGTCATGTTCTGCCGCCGCGCTTATTCGGCATCACACAGCCACCACCGCATGAACACCGACAGTCCAACCCACGGTTACCACTTGTGAACAAAACAAACCCGATAGCCCCGGGATCTTAAAAGACACAACAAAGTCAGAGCCTCTGTTGCGTTCCTCGATGTCCCCGACGCCACCCTTGCTGAAAACGCATCACATCGGTCAATGGCTTGGTTCGCGACAACCTTTCCCATTCCCAGCTATACCAATCAACAAATATCAAAAACGAGCGGAACAATCGACCCGAAGCAAAAAGACACGCAAACGACCAGACCAGCCACGCGTGCGTACAGTACCTCCCCGTCGCCCGTATCCCCCTCGTCCAACACGTCAAAGTCGGTCAGCCAGCCCCCGCCTTGCACCAGGCGACCCACGGACGAGAATGGCGTCTGGGCGTCCAAGCCGTCAAGGCGGCGGGTTTCTCCACTGCCGGTGCGAATCTCCATGCTCACGGCTTCGTGCCGAATATAGAGAGCGAGAGCGAGAGAGAGAGAGAGAAAAAAGAGAGAGAGAAGGGTGGTGGTGGTGGGGGTACTGTGGCTTTCATGTTTTATGTGTTTTCGTCCTATTTATGATGGCGACAGTCCCGCCATTTTTCGTGGTGAGACGTGTACTACACTTTTCAGCGTATGTAGAGTACTACACTTTTCAGTGTGTTTTTTCGTACAACTACAACCATCCAGGGTCACACAGGAGGGGGTAAACACCAGGGCTTTTTCTCTTCTTTTTATTTATTTTCATGCCCCACCTTCCTCCTGCGGTGCGTGCTGAATTTATTTTTATCGCGAGAAGGGTCCAGCCGTCCCTTTACCTCGTCAACGGTGGCCACCTCGAAGTTTGGTACTCACTAGGGCTTTTCAGCTATATTTTGCTTTCACCCGCAAATTTTGTAATTTTTTCACCCCATGGGGATTCGAACGCACGACCTCTGCGACTAGCGGTCTACGAGGATACCACTAGACCACCGGGGCGACCGTCATGTACGGTAGCGGAGGCGGGGGGAGGCGTCAAGCAGACGACGGTGCCTCCCCGGCTCTGGTTCAGGAGTGTAGCATACCTGGCCGCGGGTCTAATCTTTTGTAAGGATGGTATCAATGTTTTGGTGCCGTTCGCGATTTCCCCGCACTCTGCCCTACCGCCGTGTCCACAGTGCCATGTTAGGTGGCACTGCAGAACCTCAGTCTCCTATTTAGTACTCCGATCCACTAGACACACGTGAAGCACGTGGGCTAAAAAAACGCGTACAACGAAAAACTTGGAAAAGTGCGCGTGCATTGCAGAAAAACCTTGCGCATAAACGAAAAAAAGAAAAACAAACTCTCAACATCAACCCCACAACAGAGGGTTCGAGCGCTTCCAACATAAAAAAAGTTCGATCGCATTTCAAGCTATACAGTACGTGCATGGTATGTGCTTGCACTCATGAGACTGAAGCAACTCTTTACGACCCACAAAAAAGTAATCAGCACGTGGGTCAGATAATCTTTTGTCTTGCTCACGTTCGTTGATCCAATCTGGCACGTGCGCCAGGTATTCGAGTCGCTTGGGGTCTTCGTCAAAGAAATGCCCGCCTTTCTGTCGCTGCCGGAACCATTGCACTATTAAGAGTGCCATGTTTGGCGGTCAGCATCGGAGAGCCCCATCCAAATGCAGGGCGACGTCGAACACAGCACAAGCGCAGGGATGCCGAAAGCAGCAGCAGCAGCAGCAGCAGCAGCAGCAACGGAGCAGTCGTCATCTATCCACCAGACTTTGCCGAAAACTTTCTGCTCGGGGACAAAATACTGAGACACGTAAGCCCTCGAAAACAACTTTGGCGGACGTACACGTGGCCACAAGTCCACGATTAAACCCAGCACAAGAGCAGGTGAGATTGAGTTGGTCTCTAAGGTTGCTTTTCATTCACGCAGAGTCATTTTCCCCCTCTTTGCTCACACAGCCAATCATTGCTGTCGAAGTCACCTCCAAGCCGCCCCCCGCCAGGCAGCGTAGTAGCTGCGATGATGGCACACCACAGCGACGGCGTGGCCAATACCACGACCGAGAGACCGACACCGACCCCAGCAAAACTACGAAACACAAATCTCACCGATTCCCGGCGATAGCTTGCTGACCAGCCTCCTTGACCCTGGGTCGTTTGCCATGGCGTACGAGAATATGTACGGGATGATGGTGCCCAGTATAGCCCCTCCCGCCACTTTGTACTAATATATTATTGAAAGTTGTACACACGCAAGGGCACGTACGTTGAGACTTGCGTAATTGGGGGGGGGCTGAAACTTAAACTTGCAGTCGTTGTCTCGTTGAACGATCACTCATCTCTGTCGCAAGATCGCAGCAGCACCTCATAGTTGCGTCATACAGAGTTGGAGGAGTGAAAGGAGCAAGGTGCAAACGAATGCACTTCAGACGAGCGAGGTGGGGAGTCAAAGCGGCGACGGGCGAAAGTGGGTGGACTGCCGTACACCCTGTGCTTCATCGACGACAGCAGCATAAGTTTATCGCCTGAAACGAGTTTGGGCGAGTTTGGGCGAGTCCGAATATTATTCCACGGTGATTGGCTAACACGACATTCAACCTCCACCGGGCCGGGCTAGGAGGTGCACCCGCCGTGGCTACTCAGGTTCCGCGTGCAACCTCAATGTCGTCATCGCCGGGAAATCTGCACTCTTCCGGATTGCTGGCCTTCCGATCCAGGCCTCTTCGCCCACAAGATGCCGCCAAACCTACATGTTCCAACGCTAGGTAAAAGCTTTCCACCCGCTCTGCAAAAGTTGGCGAACCTGCTGCCGCGCGCTGCCGTACATGCCCCGACTGCGCCTCACCGTCAACAAACTCTTGACACGTACTCGCGAGCACGTAAGCGCACCGGTGCTGTAAGTTCGCACCTCGGGGTCTTGCACGGGTAGATTGCAGGGTGTAGAATACAATGACCCCACCCTGGTACTGGTGTTTTCTACAGCAGCTGCCTCTACCCATACCTTTAGCGGCCAGCCGGGCTCCTCGGCAGCAGGCGAGGAAGGTTTTGCCGGCTCGGCGGTTGTGGAAAGTCGCCGATGCCCGTGCTGCCGTATGCAGCCCTCGATCACCTTGGGACGGCGCAGCGGCGCACGCCCATGGGTAGGGAGTCGAGGTTGGAGCACTCGCAGCATCTCTCTGGTTCTCTCCTACACACTCACCGGTGCCGGGCAGGTGCACGCGTGCACTACAGCAGGAGGACAAGCACACTAACACCTTCTTCGCCCCGGCGCGGTGGCCAGGTTGCCAGGTTCCGAATGCAGAACCCGGGCAACGCTCGAGAACCATATCGAACTCCCAATCTCATGTAGATCGTTCATCGTAGATTTCGTAGATTTCGAGCGGCCAAACACCAGACACCACAACACACACCGCCTTACACTTGGACGCACAACAGCCTTCCTCTACTCTTCAGCTCCCTGCAGCTTGTGCGGCTCCCCCTTACGCTTCTTGGAAATATGGGCATGCTCGCAGGCCTAGTGAAATTGTGTCTGTGCGGCACGTTTCTTCTGTCGGGTGTCTGCAAGTTGACGCCAAAGGTGGGACCTTTTGTTCCGCCGTTCCCCCGTATACAAACACCGCCGTTTTGCCCAACAGCTGCTGCTGTGCTGTAGACTACTCTCTATGTGTTCATTGGTTCCCACGCGACGTCGCCTATGCTCTTTTCGGCAGTTTTCTTTGCCAGGGTGTGAGGCGTGTGATACTCAACTGAGTTCTTGGGGCTCCTGAGAGGTTTTTCGCGTTGTTTCGGAGTAACCTCCGCCGCGTAGGTTACGGCGCAACCCAGTGAACGTGCATTTCGCTCGAGCTTCATCCAGAGACCAACGACTCTTTCGCGTTGGGCGCCATCTCCTTGTACGTACCGCGCTCAAGTTAAACTCCCCTTGAGTCGACGGGCGGCAACTCACAGTACGCGTGTCTGTTTTTTTGTGTGACTCTGGTGGTCTACTGCAGTCTACAGCACAAGTCTACTGCCGGAAGTAGTAGGAAGCACGAGTGAGATTGACCGCTGGGCTGAACGGTGCTCGCGGTTGTCAGAGGTACAGTTCAATCCTTGCCCTTGCCTTGAGTTCTCTCACTCCGCCGGAATATTTGCATAAAGCTACGAAAGGCATTGGCACGGCAACTCTTCTGTATTTTCTCTTCATCCTTCTTGGTGCGTCTTGATCGTGGACCGCTGCTGTAGCGTGGGTTCTGATGATGACGTTACTGGGTGCACCCTGTTTGCTGAGAGGCAAACAACCTTTGCTACACTTGATGCACACTAAAAATTTTCTGCTGCCTCCGCCGAACCGCCGTGCGGAAATAAAGTGGGGGGCCGACGTGTACGCCGCGATGGACGAGGCCTTCGAGAACAGATTCACGCCGTTCTGGCAGGAGATGTTCTTCTTCTCGGAGATAGGCGTCGAGCTTAACGCGGCCGCGGTGAAGCTCATCTTCGGAAGGTGTGAGGGTAAAAAAATGTCCAGGCCCATTTGCTGCTCAATCACGCCCTGTATTAGTTATTTTTCTCCTGTCGGGATTCCGGTCGAGATTGTGTTTGTTGGGGAGGTGGCGAACGAATCGGCGAAGGGTCTTCGGCGCCGTACGGTACACTGGAGCTCGGTATTGATGCTCTGTGGAGGGGCGCACGACGATTCTATCATGGGGTCGACGCAGCCTGTACTCCCCTGCACCAGATGTTGACGAGAATTTCCCCCTCGCACAAAGTGGTGCGCTCTGCTGCTGCACTTGGTATTCCAACGTGCGTCTTGACACCAGCATCGCAAGGTTTTCGTGTTCGACTGTTAATTAGCGGTTTTCTGGGCGTGGCATTCTAACACACTGCACCCCTTCATCGCGCCGGTGTTTGCTTGCTGTAATCTGTTCATCTTCGTGAGCGTATCTTTTCAGTAGCATGCGGGCGCGAGCTGTTGGCCCAAAGATAACATTTGACCAGGCGTTCTCCGCGCCCATCAAAATAGCTTGACCTCGGCACATTTGTCTCTTTCATTTCTCGACACTGCACGGACGCTTCTCTTTTGCTCACCAACCATCGCGGTTCACGCGCCTCGGCAGTAACTCACTCTCGTTCACCCCTCCGCCTGCCCATTCTCCGGGACCCCCCGCCGTCGTCGCTGACTGACACACGGTGGGCCTTCCCTGGACGTCTGTCCCTGTGACCGGTTGCGTATCCGACGGCAGCACGGAAGTCTTGTGCGCCGCCCTATTGTTTACCTCGCACAAGTTCTCCGCGGCGATCATGCTCTTCGGGCTTATGTCGGCTGTCGTCCTCACACACGTGAGTGCTCCCTGTTCAGCTGTCGGCGCCGCTGTCAGCGCAACCAGTTGATTCAATACATCTTACCGCACGCGGTGCCGACCTTCCGCGTGGAGGCTTGTGATTTCGATGGCAGACACTTTCGGGGGTGGATACCCTTTCTAGAACGACAGCTCTTGTAGTCTGGGCTGAAAACGTTTTTTTTTGTCAGCAACGTTTTGGACCTCCCTGTTCTCTGTTCTTGATATTCTGTTTGGTTGGTTGTGTAAGGTGGACAGTGCTAGTTGCACTGTTTCCCGTCTCAAGGAGTATGCCGCCTGAAGGAAGCGACGCCCACGTGCTATTCGTTTACATAGTTCAAACTCGCCATATTTGAGAGGAATGTGTGGGGCATTGTCGACCTCTTGGCACGATTTTATCAGGACGTCAGACTTGCCCAAGGGCATTCCCCTCTTCTCGGGATCGTGTTTTCCGTACCGCATGGATACCGTCTCACCTGTTGTGTCTGTGCACACCTTTCCGCGAACACCAAAGACGTGCCATATTTTTGACACACAACGAACGCTCCAAACAAAGCTCGAACCAACTGCAGTGGAGGCTACGGTTACGAGAGGACAGAAAGAATGGGATGCACGATTTTCAGGGGGGAAGAGAACTTCCCAGGTCCTGAAACGTTTTGAAGGAGGATTTGTATCGGTTTTGGGAAAGTCTGCTAAATCGAAGCTTGAGACACAAGAACCATAAGCCGTTGCGCGTGCGTCCCCAATCACACGCCGTCCCACTAGACTGTGCACGAGATACCCGTTCTGGGTCTGCAAGCAGTACCTCCACGATATTTCGGTTCGATGTACTCGCCAGGCGACAGCGAGACAAAATCCTGCGTCCGCGACCGCACTTTACGGGAACAAACTATTTTTGTGAGTCGAGGACATTGCCGAGAACTGCTGTGGCATGCCTATCGTACTCTCTGATATGGTCGTAAGACCAAGCTAGGTCTGACAAGCGATTCCGGGACGAGGGAAGTACAGCAGACGTCCATTAAAAACCTCGTGTTGGTTTGCATTGAGGAAGGAGAGAATGTTGAGAGATACTTGGATACGGGGGAAGGGAGGATACCTTTCTCTAGCTGTTTCGCATTGGATTTGTTGCGCATCGATTTGGTGTACTTCATTTTTCTGCCCTATTTGGTCTACATGTTCTGTCGCGCCCTCTTTTGTCGGTGGTTCGAACGACGCACGGTGCTATCGTGGTGCTTCATGCCATCCCAGACGAGGAAGCAAGATTTGGTGTGCTCCAGGAGCTACAATTAAGACATTTGTATGAGGGAACACAGCAGTGCTTTGCATATTGGTTACTCCGAGTTCCGTTTAAACAGGACAACAGAGAGCCGGATCATTTAGGGCTTAACTGTGTTGGCGTGGTCCTTTCTTATAGCCGTGTTTGCTACTCCTCATGGCCCGTTCCCTCTTTTGTTCCACGCCACCTCCAAGCGCACGTGTCCCTCATACCCATTCGCTCGCATCCCAAGTCCAGAAATGAAGATGTTATTTTTTGAACCCTGTGTACGTAGGCTTCTTTCGTGTTTCCTGACGAATATATGTCGATATCCGCCGTGCTCGTTGTTTTTGCTGCTCGCCACCACCCCCCAGCTGTTCTTGGGCGAGTTTGCGGAGCTTCCGATGCCGCTTGTGTTGTGCTTATCGAGCCTTGCGGTAGGCTTCGTTGGGTATTCGCCTCTTGACCAGGGCAAACCCAAGATGGGATGACTCATCACCAGCTACGGTGGTTGGGGGTGTGACGGGGATCGAGGAGTCCCTACATTGCAACTGTTGCTCGTTTGTAGCTACACTGCGCTCTAAGGTCATTGGTTATGGCCTAGTGGGATTTATGGGGCACCGAGTGGGGTGCCTTCGGGGTTTTGGCTTCAACGATCTCGCTGTAATAGGTATCTTCATTCGGCTCTGGTGGAATCATCGCTACATTGGAGAATTCCGGAAAAATCAGGGTCGGCAAGTACTTCCAAGTAGTCCTCAAAGATGGTGCTTTAAGGGCAAGGGCAGGTGGAATTTGTTTCATCGGCTGTCAAACACTGCTACCGCCGCTGTTCAGGAGACGCGGCTTTCTTTCACCTCCCACGCCCTGCCTCCGTCAGCCGACATCGGTACCCTTGCCGTGCCGAGGCAGTCCGGTACCTTTTGTGATGATAGCGAAAAATGCGCATGTCTATTGTGTGACATTGGTCGTCGATTCCGTGTATGTTTACGTCTTTGGTGTGCGACTGCTACGGCGCACAGTTGTAGTTATAGTGTAGGATGAAGACTGTTGTTGGTGTTAGTGTAGAATTTTTGTATGGGTTTCGTGGTTCGGTGTAGGAGTCTTGATGTCGTGTGCTGACTAGCGGCGAAATCCAAACGAGGTTTTGGAAGCCCTCCGTACGACACCCAGCAAACACGCACGAAAAAATCATCGTTGCGAAAGAAAGGGTGTGTTCCCTCAAGGCCCACGCAACCCACCAATTCAAACTGGCACATTGCTCCATCTTGTCCATCGCGCCAAGAAAAACACAGCACACGACAAACGAAACTGTCGATATTTGTCCACCGACTACATGGTTCATATTCGAAGCAGAAATCACGGTCTGGTCGTCCCGGTAGCTCAGCCATGGAAAGGCAATGGCTAAGAGTACCTTGGCCTCCAGGAGTTGTGTGCTATGCTGCTGCTCGTTGGACAGCATGGCGAGCTTGAGTAAAATGTGGCCTGAAACGCGACTAGTGCGCACAGGTTGTCTTCTGTTGCTGCCGCCCAAGACGCTTCTGGACAGATGCAGCCTCTTACCAGCGGCAAGATACAGTAAGATACAGTAACAGGAGCACAAGGAGCAGCTTGCCATTTTTGCTCCCGCTTGCAGACTTGAACAGTACCATTCCCAGCCTCTTCCAACGTGTCGTTGACCATCACAAGCTATATTATATTGTGCTGTCGAGTTCACCGCCTTGAACGTAGGACTCCCGCCGCCTCCTGCATTAATCATGCGCCATTGTAGTCCCTGCGTGTTGTTGTCTCGTTGTCGCTATCAATCAATCGATCCCCGTCACAACCCGGGCCTTGACCCTGGCCGGGGGCAATTGGTCGAAGCCAATATTACACCCCCTGCCGAGCGTGTGGGACTACTCAACGCTATGGCCACGTGCCTCGTGTCTTCGACACCTCTCCCCACTTGGGAATCTCGTGCGTGCAAGAATACAATAGTACCATCGTTTTGGCGCCAAAAACGCTCAAATTTCCGGTGGGCGTGCCCGCATCCGCTCTCCCTTGTTGTTAAGGTGAAACCGCGCCCCGCGGATAGTTGCTGATGAACGGGGATTCCCGAGAGCCTGTGTCCTCTTTTTGACCACCCCGCCCCCCCCCGTGGTATGCAACGAGGGCAGGGAGGAACCAGTAGAACATAGATGGAAGTGGGGGATCGAGGAGATTGCAGTAGTCGACCAGTACACATACCTCGGAGTAGAGATCGCAAAAGATTGCTCGTGGAATGCACACATGTCCAAGGTAGCGGAAAAGGGCAAAGCACGAGCAGGGAAGCTTCACCCAATACTCGCAAACCGGCACCTTGATACACGCATCAAATTGACGGTTTTGAAGAGCGTAATCGTACCGCCGCTGGAGTACGCCGGAGAAGTATGGGAAGGAAATAAGAAGGTAGTGAAAGAACTCGAGGCGGCGCAGATGAAAGCAGCGAAAATCATCCTAGGATGCTCCAAGCGCACAAGTAATGCAGCAGTCAGGGCAGAATTGGGGATCCAATCCCTACGGTCGGGAAGAGACGTAAGGAAGCTGACATGGCAGTACCGCATGTGCGGGATGGGAGAGGAGAGGTTGCCGAGAATAGTATGGGAGGCGAAGTGGGCAAACAAAAAGAGGGGTAGACAACCCACGGAATGGGTCAAGGTTGTAGAGGACGTATGGAAGGGATTGGACATCAACGAAGATGAAACGCTGGAAACGGAGGGTCTACAGGGGTTCAAGAAGAAGATATCTGTTGCTTGTGCCGACAGAGAAGAACAGAATCTAAGGAAAGAATCCAAGGATAAGGAGGGTCTAGAAGTGTACGGAATGTTGAAAGAAGGAATAGGGTTTCAAGGATTACCTACATGGACCAATGGATGCAGGGACAAAGCTTAAGGTCAAATTCAGGACCGGGGACATAGGCCTTCGCGAACGTCGACGAAGACATAGGACGGTAGACGACGAAGACGACAAGTTCAAATGTGATTGCGGCTTCGAATGCGAAGACAGTGTTCATGTAGTCGCGGAATGTCCGTGGTACGAAAAGGAGAGGGAAGTGTACATGACTGAGCTGGGAAGAATACAAGGGACATACAGGGAGATGTTTGAGGCATGGAATAGAGAGGAGAGGACGGTAGCGGTACTGGGGAGTAGGAAGTGGTTTGAAAAGGCGGGAAGTGACATCGGTAGGATAGACAGACTAGGGAAGACATTTTTGAGCCACCTTTGGCAAAGTAGGAAGGAACGATTGGCCATCGGTGATCGGTCCTGTGGGAACAATGCTCCGTCCTCTCGAGGACGCGTGGTCAATGGTCTAACCGCTAAGGCATGCAAAGCATAAGAGTACGCCCCCGCCCCCCCCCGTATTTCGCAAGCAACAACGTCTGCAACGGCAGCGCCCAGTGCGCCCTGGGGTGGATACAAGCTGGAATGCCACCCGCGAACATACGGTCTTCTGCTACTAAATCAAAAGCCATCTTGCTTGATTTGCCATACCTTTACCTTAATCTCTACGTCAAAAACTGCTATGACACGTGTAAGTAAGTAGCAGTCGAGGACATCTGGGCGTCCCTCAGTACAATGGTGCCGCACAACGACAGCCGCCGCTGATGTTGTTGCTGCTGCTTCCAATAGCACCTTCGCCTGCCTGTTACCAACTAGAACCATCACCGTGTACAAATCACGCCGGCTGCCCTCCCAGCAGCACCGAGCAGCACGTCAAGGCCGCGTCTGGCTTGATCATCTCGGAGTAGTCAATCTCCAACACCTTCGCCTGCCTCGGGAATGTTTTTGAATTATTTCGTTTCGTCCAGCGACGAAGTCAAACACAACAAGATCGAACGAACAAAAAAACGGACAAGGGCAAACCGAAAAGGCAGTGAGTGCTAGGCAATGTTGAACACAACACTTCAAATAAAGCAAGACAAACACTGGCATAAAAATTCGAAGAGGGGGTTGGGGAGACAACAGAGTGATGTTGCGCGTGCTTGAAAAAGAGACCCCAATTTCTGATTAGCCGGGGCCAGGTAGAAAGTGAATCTCAGTTTATCACAAGCGGAATGCGTCCTGAACTGTTTCACAGTAGAGCCGGGTGGCAATACCGCGCTCTGTCTATCAAGATGCAATCTGCGAGAGAACTAAACATCACCAGCAAACATCGCGCCAAGGATGCTGCCTGCTTGTTCCTATAGCAACAAACCGAAACCTGCTTTCACGAACATAGCACGCGAATCCTCTCAAAATCCCTTCGTCTAGGATGCTGGCCACTCTGTTTCAGTTGGCTTCTCCCCCAGGCCGTGAACAAAGCACGCCTGCATTGCAAGCAATCCGTTCATTCGTCGCCCCAACGGCATCCATCTTTGTTGTCGATTGCGATACTTCCTTCCACATCGCACCTGCTCTTTCTCCGTGAAGCACTTGCGGATAAGCCAGCGGCTCTCTTCGCACCGCCCGCCCTGGATCAGCGCCCCCCGCCACTGCCCCTTGTGGATCACCGACACCACGTTCGCGCTAGGCTGCATGCACGTTCGCCCGGGGGATATCGTGTGATTGCTATCGTTCTTTCCCATGAATGAATCTGTTCGCCGATGGATGCTCACGTACATAGCCTCTACACAATGGACGCGAATGAGACCACTTTTCTTGCTCAACCGCACGTGAAAAATGCTTTCGTGTCGCTTGATGCGTTACCGCGCAAACAGCGACCTTCTTACCTGATCAGGGACCCCAATGGCTTTATATGCTGTCTCTCCAACGTCCGATGCCATGCTAAACGGATTGGAAGACGAGCGGCGAAATTACAAAACAAGGTCACCGGATACAAAGAAAAGCTTCGTCAGGAGCATTCTGGACATGCTACGCTGGACTAGGCAAAACATGGGTTTTCCCCAAAACGTGTGTTTTTCCTACGTCATAGACCTCCCCTCAATTGTATGGTGGATCGGCTTGTTCGTGCGTGTCACGCGATATGCCAAACGCCTCGACACATCTATGCTACACTTTAGTTGATATGCGCTCTTGTGCGTGTCTGCAACCAACAACTCAAAAATTGATATTTCAACATTGAGGAACGCAGACGTTTTTGCCGCACTTCCTTCTCGAGTATTTTGTCGTCGGGTTGTTTTTGGTTACACATCTGATGATGAGTGTTGTTGAGGACCCTCCTACGGGGGTTGCCTGTGCTGCAGCACCCACAAAAACGACGCGAGCATGTGTGACAAAAGCTGCCTAGTCGAAGGTGTGCGCGGATCGGGGCTCGTCCAAAAACAAGGACCTCCTTGACCGCCGCAAACCCAAAACACGGCAGTGGTAGGGCCAGCTTCGGAGGAAGCACGCTCATTCCCCCGCACACTACATCCTAGTCTTTGCGATTCGAATCAATTGCCGTCATTATTTTCTTTGGTTGTGCAGGGGTGACGGCCATCCGTTTAGATTAGGAATCAAACACATTCTTAAAAAAAAAAAGAAGTATTTACCTTCCAACCGCCTCTTGCCCAGCGTCGTTCCTCGCGAACAGTAGAACCCCTGGTCTGAGCAGGGACACCAACGACTTCAAGTGGAGCGCGCCCGCCTGCCGTTAGACGAGACCGAACAGAAACAAACCATGGTCGGCGAGGAGGGGTGGTTGACGCATAATGTACTAACCGTAAGGCTGTTCGCGAATACTGAACATAAACAAAGGCTGTGGTCAAAGGCTGTGGTCAGTTTGGCTCCCTGACTGCCGGCGCCGGGTTGGCCATTGGGAGAGGAATACCTCACAGTCATATTGGTGCACACACTGCACCAGACACCACGCTGCGACAGCGCAAAATAATGATAAGCTCGACGAACAAAGTCGGGCACTTTTATCAGCCCGATGAACTGGTCGGGCAGCGCAAAACACGTCTCTATGCATCATGGATATCACAGCACACGACCAGCGGCCCTCGGGGATAGGCAAGCACCCGAGGCCAAACGCGCAACGAAAAGCAAACACGGCACAACCCGTTGGCTGCAAACACGCCCGCTAGCCTCACCAAGAGCCAGCCAACCCAAGCCTCTCGTTTCCTCACCACTGGCACAGGGACAACTGGGAGAGAGGGGCCGAACGCCTTGGCAAGCGCGGCAGCCCCCGCCTTGTTTGTTCGCTCCGATATCCCGACGAACATGTGGCGTCCTGACAGTGCGCACAAAGAAAGAGGAGTAAAAGGGAAGCATGATGGAAGAACGAACAGGCAAGGGCATGGGTACGGATACGGGGAGGAACACGGCTATTTAAGAGCAAAACGTCATCGACTAAGATGAGGGCGGCATGATAATGTGGGCCAGGGTGTAGACACGGTGGAAAATGAAATGAGTACGAGTAGTTGGGTGCAGGCAAGGGACTCGTGCAGCCCGAAAACGTGGCTAAGAGGCGGACGGAGACGAAACAAGGAGAGATAACGGCAGCAGGAGCGATTAAAAAAAGCAGGATGAGGCATTTTGTAGACAACGACCGAGAGCAACAGTACGGACATAATACTGCGTGCCAGAGGGAGAAAAGTGCCCCTCCTCCTGGCTGATGCGCCGGTCGGGAACGTCATCAACACAAGCACGTATGCATCATCGTACTTGGACAGTAAAAGCATCACTCCTGTACTGTTTGTCTACGCGCGAACGTAACCCGTGGCTCCGTCCGCCCTTTACAGCGGAAAACCTCAAGAGCAATCGATGTGGGTGGTCGTCTCTAAAGATGTGTACGTAGTGCGTAGTGAGCCAAAGGGCGACCTAAGGCAAGGACAAGCAAGCACGACGCCCCCCGCCCCCCCGGCCTCCCCCTCGCAGTCGATGTCTCACCCGTGAACAGAACATCCCCTCCGTCGCAACGTGCGTCCGGGTCCTCCATGTGCACCGTCTTGACACACTTCAGGGCGGGATTAGTCGCTAAGGCCTCCCTGTTGCGAGAGTGTCAAGCACACGGCCGAAGAAGGAGCAGCGGGTTTCAAGGTGTCAACAGCGGCGGCAACGCTAACGGCAGCGGCGGGGTGACATCGGGAGGTGACGGCAGGCTCCACGCAGGCATCTTGCACAGGCTATACCTGACAGAATGCCACCCCATCAGACCTCCCTGCTGCTGTGCGGCTGCAGTCGCGTCGGGAGATGAGTTTGGTGGCCCCAACAAGAGGTGAGATGAAACAAAATCACGATAGGAAAGCGCGACAGGAACTCTTCGATTTTCTCACAAGCGTACGCGTTTGTACAATTTCTTAGGGTGAAACTGTTCTCAGTGTTTTGGCGATAACCTCACAAAATACGGGTGCTGCGACGCTGTGTAGGTATCTCTTTTTTCTACTTCCCAGACAGGCAGCGCTGAAACAAACCAAGTTAAGGTCCTCGGTCGGAACGACCTTGCTCTGGCAGCATCAGCTACGAGGTCATGATCAACAGCCGCAGCGGCAGCATCAGCACGAAGGTAGAGCACACGAGCATCAAACACATTTAGCCAACACCTCCCACCCCTGTTGCCACCGTCCCTCCAAACACTCAGCACAAGACAACCAAACAGTGAAACCAGCACCCCTTCAACGCCGACGGCGACACCAACACCACCCAAAAAACGACTGCATCCACCGTCACGTTCTCACCTAACGGCATCGACCTCTCCTATTCTGGAATCGTGCCCCTGGCGGAGCGTCACCGCGATGCCCCTCGCGTACACGACAGCGTCCTCCACGAACGGGCAGTCCGGGTGGGCCTCCAACGCAGGGAGCGCCTTCCCCGCACACATGTCGCGTAAAATACAACATTGCATGCATAAACATGTGCCAAAGCTAAAGCTAAAAATTCTACAATAAAAAAAACGGACGTGCGAGCATGACACTCGGCATGTGTGGTTGAGGAGGGAGCGGGTGGCATTCTGTCTCCGAGTGAGCCGACTGTGGTAGCGTCTGCTGCTGTGCTATAGCTGCTGTAGCTTTAGCCTGTAACCACCATCGCAGGTCTCTACCAAAACGAGACTAGGCTGGTATGAGCTGATGAGAGGCAGCAATAGCGTGGGACCGGCACCTCATTGTACCAGGTTCACGGACGGTCTACCATCCAATCACTATATCCAATACCCATCACTCAATTTGTCTTGGTTACCTCGACGGAATCGACGATCTTCGACAGCGCGTCCACGTAGCCGGCGTGTTGCTTGGAGGCGAGAGCCCAGTCGATGGCCTTGCCCCCAAGCGCCGCGGCTGACTTTTCATCCATCACGGCCTGAAAAACGAATAGTGCGGTATTGATGAATCGTAACATGCACCACACAAATTGCTAAGCTTCCTTTTGCCTCCTGGTCTGTATCAACCACCATACAAGACGAACCATACCCACAGCTTGCGGCGGATGCCTTTGTCATTGCTGTCGCTTCAGTGGTTGGTGAGCGATCATCGGTAAGCCAAGCCAGCGACGCGGGAAAAAAAGGAGAAGAGCTCTTTTTGCGGTGTTCGCAACTTTCGCTACCTGAGCTCCCGTGCCTCCTATATTCCCCGTGGCCTCTGTCAGCCGTCACGAAAGACGGACCATACACACAGCTCGCGGGGTATAGCTTACAGACAGTTGCTGCTGCTTTCAGGCGTGCAGAAATATCACCGAAAACCCAGATCGGTGGGAAGGTACATGTATTTAGTGTAACGCGGACGATTCCCAACGGCTGTTGCAGTTATTTTTTTTGGCCGATGACTCGATGTGAGCAAAAAAGCATCACCTGCACGCTAAGAAGTGGATCATCCCTTTAGCATGCTCCGGAGTACCTGGTATCACTTTTTGGGTCGGTCCCTCTTGGCAACAAGACACTTTTGGGGCAACTTGCAAGGGGCGGCCCAAAAAGAGACAGCTTAAAAAGTGGTCTCGGGTTTCCTGCCCTGAAAAAATTCATGGTTATTCATCTTGGTATGCGTGCAGCGATGCACATGCATGTATGCATACATCGGCAGAACCCAACGAGACAGCAGGAGTCTTGCCTACTTGCTTCTGTTGGGCGACACCACGCACCAAGCCGACTTCAGCTCGTGCACTCGGCGCGAGAGATGGGACGAAAAAAGAAAAAAGAAAAAAAAGCTGGCATAGTACGCAGCAGTCAGAACAGGAGCAGTCCACTCACTTTGCAAATATTCACGATAACACATATAGAGCGTGGGTATTTGCGACAAACCTTTCTCAACGGACAATTTGTTCCGCGAAGATGCGCGTGGTGGGGTGCTTCCAACTCGCTTCCGCGCGGGCACACACCATGAAAAATTACGCCGCATTTTTGACTGCTTGTGCTCGTGTTCTGGGTTCGATTGACCAAGCTGCTGTGAAGATCTTGTAGAGATGTAGAGGAATGCGTATGGGCCAATGCAGGAGGCATGAGATACACATAGAGTGGTCAACAGCGCAGCATGCCTACTCTCCTATATACCGAAAAGCCGCAATGTGCGAAGGTGTTGGTGTTATCATCGTGAAGACTACAGCAGTACCGCGTGCAACATTGCGATGTTGCCAAAGGACTCAACCATTCCCATATTGTACATATAAATACCTTGGCGAAGCTCTTGGGGACTCCACGCACCAGAGCTATGACCCTACTGTTCATGAGGTGCATGGCGGTCATGATTGCTTGGTTGTGTGTGTGGTTGTGTCACAGGCAACAACCCAGGGTTGTGAACAGCGGAACGCGGCAGCAGCAGTATTTTCGAGTTTTCGAGTTTTCAGCAGACATTGGCGTTCGCAACGGGGCGGGTGCGCCCATCATGCACACCCCGTCTTCGTCCTTCTTTTTTGCTTCTTCTCGCGAGGTGTGTCTTCTCCGTCTCGAATGTACGCCTATCCCATAAGCTTGTCAAACAAAAAACACCTACCAGAGGCTTGAAGCCGGCCACCGATCGTTCTTTCGCTTGACGCCGTCGTACTGCAATACTACTGCCGACTGCTGTACCCAGGGAGACAAATATTTCAAAATTCGACCGATGGATTCAGGTGATGCGGAGAGACGCAGGAAGGTGGATCGCTCTGCACGCTCCCACGATCAATTTCTTTCTGCATGTACTGCTGTCATCATGCCCACCTATTTCGGGGTGGAGGTAAAGGGTACTTCGAGCAATCACAGACTGCAGTCGACAGCGCAAGTTTTCAAACTCAGACGAAATCACTGCTGTATGTCTGTTTCAAGTCGCCACAGGCAGGGTTGATTTTTTATTTTTACAGAATTTTCACCTCCAATTCTCCAACAATGTCGTGCTGCTGAAGTATTGACAGTGCAGAGTTTTGGCATCAGCACATTGGTTCCTTCGAAGAGGAAACCACGTCAAAGCCGAAAGTGAAAGAAAATTTTGGCAACAATGTTCTGCATTTTCATACTTCTGTGATGCGATCCAACCAGGGAAAAACGTAAGTGTGAGTGAGGACTCGGTTTCACACCGGGACATCAGGCACAGAAAACCCTCCATATGAATGCCATGAGGAGAATGAATAGTGAAATGCTTCACGTAGGGTTACGACAGCCGATCATTGTGCCTTGAAGGTGTCGGGACTCGGTTTCACAGCGGGACTTGGGGCACCGTAAACCCGACCTATGAATGTCATGGGCAAGAGTGAAAGAGTGAATGTCGTGAAGCCTGTTTTCGTGGAGCTCAATTTCTCCACTGATTGATTCATTCACAATCATGTTTTCCTTTGAACGTACATGTGTACCGGCAACCGCGTGTCAATTGAGGCCAAACGATGACTTTCTCAACAGGTGGGAGCCGTGGGAACACGGCGCACATAGCTTCGTGCCCATTGGAGGTGGTTTCGGGAAGTTTCGTGCGGTGTCGTGAACAACGCGTGCGTATTCTGACACTGGTTGGTGCCGTGGACACGTTCTTGGGCTCATCTCGGAAACCATACGTTGATATTGGCCAAATGACGTCTTGTGCGACAGCTGGGGGTCGTGGTGATACAGCGAAATTGGTTTCATGCTCATTGGAGGTGATTTCGGAAAGTTTCGCGCAGTGTCTACCACACCGCCGAGGTGGTGCATTGGCATCATTTTCGGCCATACCTCGGCAACCACCGGACGAACGAAGGCTTGCGCGACAGCTAAGAGCCGTAGGAACACAGAGAATGTGGTCTCCAAGCATTTTGTGTTTATTGTCGACACCAGTGTCGTGTCGTAAAAGCATTACCGAAACTGGTACCAGGCTATTTTCAGTGGCCATGCTGGTGTTGTGCTCGCGCCAGTGTCCAGCGCCTTGTCAGCGTCAACGTCAAAACCCAACGATGTCGATGGGGTGAAATCTATGATATTGGAGGAGTTCGTAAGGTTCCGCGGTAGAGGTGTGTACCATGTGGACATTTTGTGTAGTGGAAGCGGGCAGGGTGCTGGTGAGGGTGGGCGTCAGTCGACGCATACATTTTTATGGCAGGTAGTGGTGCAGCAACCGCCAGACCTGTTACGTGTACTCAGCACTACAGCAAAGGTTACGGATCTACGAGATCTACGGGATCTACGGAGGAGGTATTTGAAACAGTCTTTGTAGAAGAGCGATCGTATATGCGGACCACGTCGAATACCCCGCATATCCTTTAATTCTAGCGCTATTTCTACGCATTAGTGCGGTTGAAAAAAATGTACTCAAAAGTGTTCGCTTTCTCCTCGTCTGTCCGGCTCTCCTTTCGCATTCGTATTGCCCGCAAGTAAGTACGTTGATCAAGAACCGCCGTTGAGGCAGACCTTAGGAAGCACATCGTTGGTGTTTTCTCACACTTTGGCGAAAATTGAAAATTGTGCAGCCTAGAAAACAAGAAGCGAGCGGCATCGAGATGCGAGACGCGCACGTGTGTGAGGACACCTACCTGTGGACTCCATCTCAAAAGGAACTCGAATGAGTGCCAATGGACGCATTGACACCGGTCTTTAATAGCTGTCCGAATACCTGGCACTTTTCGAAACGGCAACCGCGGCAATTTTATGTACTTTTGGTGCGTTCTGCATCCCATCCATGCTCCCTGATATTTCACTGGTAACCAGCGCGTATCGCAATACTACAGCATATGCGTCATTTTCACAACCGTGCACGTGGAACACGATGAGGTTGGGCTGTGAAAACCGCGTTCCATGCTCCAAGTACGGAAGAGAACACGCTCATGGACAGACGTCCCGAGGGCTCCATGGGTCGTCCCAAGGTCCAATGGGACATCACATGTGTCAAGAATTTCTCCATCTGAAGTCAACGCTTGACTACCACCGGTAACACCAGCCATAACAACGATGGCAACAAAAATGCCAGGCATACCCTCCCTCTATTCAAGTGAACTCCAATCACATAAAGCGGTTTGTCTCGACAGATCGACCGGTGAAGGCGGCCGGAGAGAATTATTCTAGCGGACGAAGGGCGCTCACTACAACGCTGACCACAAACCTAACGAATCAACCGCTTTCGAGGCGCGTTCCCATAAGAAACCCGGCTTCTTAAGAAAGAACGCACCCTGCTCGAAGTGTATAGAATCCGAATCAACACCTGGCAGTCCGACCCAGACCGAGCCAGGCAACTTCCTGGCAGTCGACCAGGCGGTTCCCTGGTAAAACGGCATGATCTTCCGGGCTACGGCAACTCTAAACCGAGAAGCACCAGGAAAAAAGAAACACCAGGTGATGGAAGCACGCGAGTTTCCGTTGACCTTTCAACCTGTAGGCCAATCCCTGCGCTCAAATTCATCGATCTGTACAACTTGGACAGTGGAGCTATCGGCAAGACCATTTATTCGCTCCAAATAGCCCGGTGGGTCACGCCTTCTTGAAGAAGCTCATCATGCTGGCCTGCTTCCCGCCGGATTTGGGAGCCGCCTTTCCCGTCTTTTTCTTGGTCGCAGTCGCCCCATCCTTGCCCTTGGCGCCTGCCGGGGTTTCCACTGGCCCCTCGGCCTTGTTTTCCACGCCGATCTTTGCCTTCTTCATACCCGGCGGTGGCGTTCTTGCCTGGTTGGTCTTGGCGGGCTGCAGGGCTTCCTGGATGGCGGGAACGTGGAAGAACGGCACATAAAACGGTGGGGGAGGCGGAATATCCGGGGGCATTGGACCCGCAAACATGACGATAGCGAAACGCCACAGGGCACACACGCGCGAGGTTTGCGGATGTATTTGGCAGCACAGCTTCGGTGCGGCTTCCTCAAGGTACCTTCGTGCACGACGCACGATCACATTCTTGGCTGCATCTTGCTGTTGCGGCAGCGTTTCTGCGTTCTTCGGTAGGTATCACGCGAGGCGGAGGGCCCACTCGCCCCAACTTACGAGGCCTTGGTTTTCATACCAACACGCTCGCATCCTGAGAAAGCCGATGAGGAGAAGTTCTATATCGAGTGGCCGCCGATCGGAAGGCATGGCAAAAAGTGCAAACGGCCCCCAGGTTTTCAGCAAGCCCAGCTTGAGGAGGTGAGATGCATGCCGACAAGCGTTCGCCGGGTGAGTTCCGGCCCCGCCACTGCTGTGCTTTTCTTCGCACGGATGCTATATTCAATCCCCACGAATCTATCGAAAAGACAACGAGAAAGAGGTGAAACGACCGGGGCGCGCACCTCCTCGTCGTCGGTGACCTCCACCTCCTCATTGACGGTCTTCATGTAGCCGCCCTCGAAGTACGTCCTGCTCTTCAGAACCGTCTTGGTGCGCTTCACGGCAACCCCGTTGCTGCCAACTCCAGTCCCGTTGTCCTTGGCGGCGAACTTGTCCATCGCGCCTCTGATGGGCAGGTTGATTGATGGCGTCCGCGCGGGCGGCGCAGGTGGCGGAGGTACCGAGCAGGTGCACCGATCCGGGAATGGGTAGGGGGTTAGGGAAATAGTGGAGGGAGGGGGGGATGATGACCTACGGAAAGTGTGCTCTCCAGTGGGTATGATGCTGTTCCCCACGAATCGGGCGAGAAATGTGTTACGGTTTCAGACGGGACAAGCAGAGGACAAAATCATGGCTGATTGTGAGAGAGTGACCAAGACAGGCATGACGGGGACCATCCGCAACTACACTGGTCCCCGAAGGTCACCTCAAACGAAACCTGTGCCTATCCTCTCGTTCATGACGGCTACGGCTGAACATGTGGGAAGGTGGTTCACTACCACGGCCATCAATCCATAATGCAAAAGAAGTCAACGTAGGCAACGTCAACGCAGTCACCATGTCCCTGTCCCACACCTGACGGGTTCCTTCTTGCTGGTCTCCTCTTCTTCATCATCGCTGTCGTATCTCCCCTTGCGCTTGGCGCTAGTGCTCGCCGCCGTCCCCTTCCCCCTCCTCCGCTTCTTCTTCTCTCCGCCTCCTTCTTCGTCCTCGCTCTTGCCGCTCCCCGCCTCGCTGCCGGACCCTCCTTTCGCACCACTACCTCCCCCGGCCTTCTTGGCCTTTCCTCGGCCCTTTGTGGCCGCCCCGGACCCCGGAGTGGATTCCGCCTCCTCCCTCCCTCCCGCTTCGTCGTCACTGCCATCGTCGCCGACTGGCGAGGCTGTAGATCGGCTCTTCTTGGCCTTCTTGGCGGCGCTGGTGGCCGCCGCCGGGGGCGCCGTCGCCTTTGTTTTCTTCGCTGCTGCTGCCCCGGTGGCTGTTGATCCCTTTTTGCTGCTGCTGCTGCTGCTGCTGCTGCCAACGCCGCCGCCGTTGGTCTTGGACGGGGTCTTCGATTTTGCGGCAGTTCCGTCGTCCCACTCTTCTTCGGAATCCTCGAGGCCGTCGCCCTCCCCCTCGCTCGCCCCGCCCCCCGCCCCGCCGTCTTTGTCCCCGCCCCTCCGTGGCACCACCTCGTCCTCCTCTTCGTCGTCTTCCTCCTCAACCACCATCTTCTTTGACAACCGGGCCTTGGGCTGCTGCTGCTGCGGCGGTGGTGGCTGGACATCCTCCGCGCCCTCACCGCCCTCCTCGTCCTCCTTCTTTTCCTTTGCCGCGGCAGGAGGAGCCGCAGAAGCTGGAAGAAGGTAGGCAGTCCGGGAGGTGGGCAGGGGTTGGCGGAAACACCTCTCCAGGTTCCACGGCACAAAGACGTCAAAACTCCGTGGGGTGCACGGTGTTGACATCTCAATTCAGAATCAGAGCATTGTCATCTCAAAAACTAAAGCAACATGGGGGATGGGATCACGACGACGGAAGATATGGTGGTTGCACTTCCATCAGGAATCACCGGCGCCTGACACTCGAACACCCATCGCGCCCCTACCAAGGCGCCTCGGCATAGGTAAATCATAAAAAACATCGTGAGTAATACGACGGTGGGGTGAACACCACCCTCGTTACGTCATCGTGTCCGAGCAGGCGAGTACACCATTAATCCATACCCCCAAGGACATAAATGCGTTGCTCAAGACACCGCAACAAGCTCCATGGCCCGGGGTGCAAAAAAACGTTTTGACACTTCCACGTCAGGAACGGTGCTAGTCCACAGGGAGATTGTGGAAAGGGTTTCTTCCAGGGAATGCGTATCGGGCGGCATTGGCGCCCTCGATGTTGTACAAGAGAAAGAAAGAGTGTCGAACTGGCACGGTACACTGCTGTGAGCGACCAAGCAGGATCACACCAAAAGCCAGGGGTTTCCAAGCAAACTTGAACAGGACAAGGCAACACCCGTCAAAGTGGGAGCCTAAATAGTCTGAGAAAGACGGGAGAATGCCCGGCGAGGTCCTCCGACGCGAAAAAGAACCGGGAGGGATTGCAACAACACTTAGAAGCTACCGTGCGAACCAAGACGCCGGCGAGGCAGCCATCAACCACGGTCCACGAAACAACCGCGGTATGAAATAGACCCTATGAGTTTCCTCTTATATCTCTCTCTTCGCTCTCTTCCCTCTGCTCTCACCCTTCCCAAAGAAGGACCCGATGCCCCCGGCCTTCTTTTTCTTAGCGTCCGCGGCCGCCGGCGTCGCCGCTGCCGCCGCCACGGCCGCCTGTTTCCCCTCTTCTGCCGCCGTCCCCACGGCCCCCTTCTTCCCCTCCCCCGCTTTCCCTTTTCCCTTCCCGCCTCCCGCCGCTGCGAAGAAGTCTTTGGGAGCGATCGCCTTCCCCTTCGGCTTGGAGGAGGCATTCTTCCGACCGCCCCCCCCGCCGCCCGCCGCCCCGCCGGTGGCCGCGCCGCCGCCGCGGGGGGCGAAGGGCGACTCTTCCTGGACGCGCTCGGGCGGAGGCGGGGCCTTTGGCACGGGAACGTCCACGCCCTCTGGGCAACGGACTCCGCTCAACCTTTTGATGTTTCAAAATTTTTTGGGTCGCACGGGGTGGGAGTACGCAGAAAAAACTTTATGGCGCGTCATGAAAACAAGTGTTTTGTTCTTCCTGACACAATCGGTTGTTTATCGGTTGCCGTCCTTTGGTAACCATGCAAAAATTGTGTCCTTTTAGGTCGGACCCATAATTACCTTGAGCCTGCGAGGGTCGGCGGTCAGAACGGCCGTTTGGAGAAGCCGATTGAAGACAAACAAAAAAAGTGTTCACATTCAACAACAACAAATGCCAAGCGAAATACAAGCTGGTTGGCATCTTTAGGTACACACTTGGTGCTTTGATTGCTGTTATGGCACCCATCTCCACAAGCAACTAGTTGAGATTTCATCCCGTGACATCTCCCTTTGTCTTCTCTCGCGGTTCGCCCGGAGCCAAGAGAGACAGCGACCGGTGGTCTGCACCTGTGGGTTCGCAGGTTGGCCCCCGCTTCCGTGCTCTCCTCAACCATCTCCTTCGTGTGCTCCAGGTCCGTCGCCCACAACTAAAGACATAGGGCAACCAAGAGAGGGAGAACATGCGCATGTGAATCGGGAGGGATTGCAACGACATTTAGGACCATGCGACTCAAAGAGAGCAAAAAACAAAGAAAGAGAAAACACGTGCTTTGGTCTTCGTTTAACCGTGCTGGCTTTGGCTAGCTCCAGGTCCGTCCGTTGCGCCCACTACCGCGCAGAAAACGCTTGTAAGTGTGGGCCGATCCCTAGATACATCAGCCTTTTGTGACCAGCGGATTTGTCATTCGTCTCCGCAGAATACGTCAGAACGCTTACGACAAAGAGATAACCTGTCGACGCTGTCGGACACACATCAGGGCTTGCCTGCTGTTGGAAACGACAAATCGCAAAGTAAAACAAGAAAACAATAAACGGAACAGTCTTCAGTAGGCAACCCAATCCTTGCCTGGGTGGACATGTCGGCCGCGGGCTGAGAGCAGGGCGCGGGCTGAACGCTGTACACGTGTACGCAGGTGACGGTTTCAAGCGCCTTCCGGGTGCTGTCCAAACCCTCCGCCGAAACGAGCTTCACCTGTGTGGAAACACAGCAGTAAGTTGGTGCCGGTGGTGATGGTGTTCATGCTTCCAACGCCATGGTCATTTCAACGTCATCGATATTTCAGTGCCATCGTCATGTCAGCGTCGTGGTCACTTCCATGCCATCGCCGTCCTACAAAAGGCTCCGGCGTCGCGATGTACCGACTTCCTCCTCATACAGAAACATGTACAGAAGGCGGGGCGCGAGACAAAATCCGTGCTGTCGAGTAACCTCCGAACGCACGTCGCAGCTACTGCTGTTTTGCCACCGCTGGTTTCATTTCATCGTGAACAACTTTGGGGGGGGAAGCTCAACCCATACATGAGTACCTTACCTCCACAGCCCCGAAACCGCCGATGCCGCTCCTCCCCACGACGAGGTATGTCGCCGAAACCTTCCGCTCGCCTTGCCGCTGGCAGAAGTCGTACAACATCCTGCACGAGCGCGCAACAGAAGCAAGACGAAGAAAGCGGCAACGAAGGCGGAGGTACAAGCACTCAGTCGAAACAGCAACGGCAGCAGCTCAGGATTGCTTGCTGTTGTTGGAGGGCAGCTCGGAGACCCCAGAATCGATCAACAGCAACGCCAAGGCGGCCGATTGAGATTCAAAGGATGGATTGCCTTGTTTTCTCTTGAGCGGTTATGATAGGTTCAAAACCAGGCACGCTGAAACAGTAAGTGCGCGGTGATGTGAGTCAACGCTTTGGCGTATGCCCCTAACTTCTGGAGTGCACGAAGGCCTTCATACGGGAACCGCGAGGAATTTTGGTTTGCTACATTTCTAGCCCGTGTTCGCGGCACGCTCCGATACGACAGGCATCTGCGGGCCCATCTGCTCAATTTTTTCGCACAAAGGCGATCGATTTTAGAAGCTTGTCCTCGCTCAAACAGCGGCCTAGAAATTCACTGACCTAGCAGCGTCGCGCATTCTGTCGCGAAGGCAAACGATACCGTCGCCCGACGAGGCAAACGCTCCACAAAAAGAACAAAAATAGGTGCTGTGAGGCAAAAGAGAAACAGACGTATCTTAACCAGCAGCAGCAGTACCACCGCCATCTCCACCAACACAATCACCAACACCAACACCAACACAATCACCAACAATACCAACAACACAAACACCACCACCCGCATACGTAGAGTTCAAGAAAAACAAAGACACAAAATCGCCCCAAAACAGGTGCTCACTTCTTTGCCGCGTTCGCCGTCACCGAAAGCACAAGGGCCAGCCAGCGGAAGGTCACCACCTTCTGCTCGTCGAGAACCCATCCCTGCTCACATTCGACCGAGATTCAGGGCGGTAGTACCACGCACACAACGGAAGAGGAGAAAATAGGGGTGGGGGAAGGCGGGATGATGAGGGGGGACCCTTGAGAAGCTGTTGCGGGTTGGCTCAACAACCACCGGTCGGGTAAGTCCCTAGTGGCAAGCAGTGATGAATTTGTTGACGTGCGGGGATGGCGGAGCGGACGTGGTGCTCTACCTCAGGCGAGGTACGGCGGAGGGGGGGTCGAAGAACAGCGGGACCCTTGACAGAGACGCTCCGCTCCAGTAGTCGTGTGGCAGCACCCGTGCCGCAGTACGTCGAAAAAACGAGGTTTTGTTTCTTGCTGTAGAAAACAATAACCGAAATGGAACGCGCCTTACGCCAAACTCCAAAAGGAGCGGATACGAGCTTCGGCGCATCTGAAAAAATCGGTGTAGCTTCGACGTACCTCTCGCTATGGTTGCGATCCAAACAATACAAGTACCAATTGTGGTTCCTAACTGCCTATTCTGTGTCAACTACAACATACCAAAATCGCCACAATTGTGCGTGCGTTTCTACATGTAGAGACAATCCGACGGGCTCGAGGTCCCAAGGCGGTCGGCGCTGCTACTGAAGAAGTTGAAGGTATTGTCACAGGCGACAGGCGTGCTGGTCCCGTGGTGGTTCCGCTGGTGCTGAATTGCTGTCGCCTAGTGCCCCATGTCTATTATTTCTTCTCGTGGTGATGGCAATCCAAAATCATGCAGCAACTTAGCCCTTCGATACCCAGTGCCTAGCCTGTTACCAGGCGCTGAAGGCGGCTACTACCGCAAGAGGCGGAGAGATGGCACCCCCCCCAGAGGGTCGTTCAAAACTCGATTGCTCCACAACCAAGGGTGTGTGTACCGTACCGTATACCGTACCGTGGTATTCCGTAAGAGGCGGAGAGGTGGCACCCCCCCCTAGAGCGACGTTCAAAGCTCGACTGCTCCACAACCAAGCTTGTGCCAACATCAAGGATGTTCGTTTTGGAAACATCTCGTCCAAGGCTTTCCGTCGACGTACGGGGCTCGTTCCGCCCCCCCCCCCTTGGTTATGGAACAATCCAGCTTTGAAAGTTGGTCTAAGTGGGGTACCTTCTCTCCGCTGCTTGCGGAATACCATGGTACGGTATACGGTACGGTACGCACACCCTTGGTTGTGGAGCAATCGAGCTTTGAAAGTCGGTCTAGGTGGGGTACCTTCTCTCCGCCTCTTGCGGAATACCACGGTACGGTATACGGTACGGTACACACACCCTTGGTTGTGGAGCAATCGAGCTTTGAAAGTCGGTCTAGGTGGGGTACCTTCTCTCCGCCTCTTGCGGTACTTGCCCCGCTCCAAACGCGCCAGTTCGTTGCGTGGCTTGTGCCAGATACGGGGCACACTTTGATGCAACGGATCGTCGCCTTGTCTCGAGCAACACCGTCTCGCAGCATCCCTCGGAGAAAAGTCTACGAATTGAGAGACCATGGATTTCCACTCCAACGAGCGGAACGCAAGTGGCCGCAACCATCACCTACGTCCCCCCCCCCCACCGCCCGCCCCCTGGGCCTGCCGCCCCAAAAGCACTGCACCTCAAGCTCATCCAGGTACTGGACTTGGGTCCCTCCGCTTGCATCCGCCGCGTCTGCTGCCATGCTTGCCCACGATACCCCGGGAAAAAGCTCGTTAGCGTGCCGGCGATGCTGTCCTCTTCAGGTAAGCTCTCCGTTGCCCTTCCAAGAGCGGCGGGGGGTGTTGTAGTGTCGGCGGGGGAGTGAGAACAAAGGGGACATAGTAAGATACATTAATGGGTTTCGAGACCTCTCAACACACCATGCAACACGAGTGCACGCGGTGCACACCGTAGTGCGCACCACAGCCAGGAGCGCAGCATATGCGACGGTGCCGGCCGTCATGCGTTCCACCGCCCTCCCTCCGGTCCATTCCGGCCGTACATGAACACTCCCATCATGTGCTCACAGCAGTCACAGGCAAAGCAAACGTCTGCGACGAGAGAAGTTGAAGTCAACCAACCACGCTTATAAAACGAAAGGCGGGGTGACCGAAGAAAGGGCGACGATCACCTCAGATCGGACGAAGTGGCCTGGGCCCGCAAGTGTCCGAGTGGCCCATTACCTTCAACGGTGTCTTGGGTGTTGCAGTCTACCAACATGATGCTGCTGTAACGAACCAACTGAAAAATCAGTGTTTCTACCGGAAGACCGAGAGCGAGATGTGACAGCGGGTGCATTTACTGCATACTATTGCAGATCCAACCCACATGTAGGTCTTCGGTTCAACCAAATACAAATGAAGGATGATGGCCTGTCGATGGGGTGTCGCCCGCAACACAAGAGGGGCACCACACTCGTACCAGAGGTATGCATACAAGCAGTTGTAGTAGTGTAGCCGAGGTGCACGGGGGTGTCTACGTCCGATTTTGAATGCCTGAAAAAATATTTGAACGAAGACGAATCAATCACCCTCCCAAACCGCCACCCCCAGCGTGCCTCAGTGGTGACCGTGCACAATAGTGCCAGCAGCAGCAGCCCACGGTTTTGTGGAAGGTTACTGGCTACAGTACTGCTGTAGGCAGCCACCGCGCGCCCTCACCCTCTTTTGGGCGCGGCGGCGACGAGCTGCGAATTTGAATTTCACGCAAAGAACCACCGCAACCGCTTCCTCCCTCCCTCTTTGTAACCACGCGGTAACCTCGTCTACGCAAGCAAGAGCCACATCCCTCCCTCACCTATCTTCCGTCTGTGTGGCCCTCCCCTAGAGTGAGATCGCTGGCAGCTATTAGCGCTGCAGAGGTGTGTCGCGGCGTGCACACACACCCCCACACAGAGAGAGCCGGGCATGGGGGGACTCTGGATTGGTGTTTTGCATGGGGTAGTAATACAAGACGGTGCCCCGCAACATGATGCGCCGCGAAAGGCGCCGCTGCCAGCTGCCAGGCACCTGCAGCTGCGTTCTCCTGTCTCTGCTCGCAGCTCAGACGAGGTCTACCACGACACACTAGACAGCTGTGTAGGGCTGTACATTAGCTTCAACTTCCTTACCTGCTTCACGGGAACGCGGCATGTCGAGCAATAAGCCCATGCCCCTAAAGAAGAGAAAGGCCGCGCCTGCAGTGCCGAACGACACGACGAGCTCCAAAGCTAGCACCAGCATCAGCAAAAGCAGCGGGAATCCGACACCGTCTTCGTCGTCGCGACGCAGGTCGCCCATGGCGGTGACAAGCATCAGAATTAGACCTCCTCGTGCTTCCATGAGCCTCCACGAGAAGCAGGACATCCGTGCGCTTGATAGCATAATTCGCCGCGAGAGGTGAGTATAGACTATATACATAGCTTTGACATACAGCAGTGCGAACACGGAGACGTATGCAATCCGGAAACGTTAGCGTGGGATGTGGGATGTACGGCATATGCGCGAGGGTACAGCAGCGCCGATGGAATGGTTCGGTTTCAAAGAACGAGGGAGTGTCTTCCCCACGACCTTGCTCTATACAGACTATGCATACTAAACTTAGGGACGGAGTTGATCCTTCAATCACGCAAATGCTCAACCTACCACCACATCATATGTTGTTTGCAGCGGACAAGGCTCCTATTTTAATGTTCTCTTCCCACGACTCTCTCCGTCCATGCTCGGCGTCATGTCAGAGTTGCTACTGCAAGAAGGTCTGACTGCTGTGAACGTTGTTTGTGTTTACACACCAAAGGATGCCGAAGGTCCTGCTGCACGAGCTCGCGGCGAAGAAGTACGCGACTTTTCTGGCCGAGTCGCTGTCTCCGGCGGCAGCGAACAACCCGGGAAACCTCAACCTCCCTCCTCTCAGCTACTACCGGCGCCCGAGGCGGAAGCGACAGGTAAGCTCGGTTTTCCTTCGCGATGGGGTCTAAGTGGAGGTGTTTGTCGTGCTATGCACGCATGCGTCTTGCTGTTGTGCGTGTGTTTTTTCTATGCTCTGCCTACAGGAGTTGCTACAACAAGCGTTGTAGACTTGTCAAGTCAGTGCTGACTGAGTATGTTCTAATAGCTGCAGTCGAATAGCCTCAAATGGTGTATGTTCAGGAACAGGAGTATCGAAAGGGTTTGCTTGCCAACCCGACCCGGTCGCAGGGCAATCCAAAACAAGGTCCAGCATGCACAGGGTGCGGCTTTCCGTCGCTAGCCGTTGTAGATATGTACCTCCTGTTGCTTCTTTCAGCGCATGCACCCATCGAGTTTTCTCATGAACGGCACGGAGAACCAGCCTACGTTGTACGTGACAACCATCACTGAATCGAGGGAGACGGCAAGACCCGGGGGAAAATTCCAGGTGGAAGGAGCGATGAACATCGTTTGGTGATGCATCCTGTGCATGGAGTTGACGCGAGGTCGTGTGCATGCGATCGTCTATTAGCGTTTATTTGGGTTGCTTATCCATGACCAAGGATTGTAGCGAAATTTTGTCGAATCGGCACCACCCCCTTCGGCAAGGGCAGCAGCACTCACTACCCTAGACGATCGTGCAAACGGATCCATTCCCTTCGGTTCGTGGATGCCCTGCCTGAGAGACTACCAACCATACTCATGAAATTGCGTCACGACCCAACCCGTGACGTAGCAACACGGAACTTTACTATTCTGCATTGCTGATACTGTCTTAACAATTCTCTCGATTTTCGGTCCGCTGAACGAACGGTGCATGGTGTTGCCTCTCTCCCTTCGCCATCAATTTAGCGGCCGGACATGGCGAAACCCTTGCCGATATTTCACGTGCCAACGTCGGGACCAACGGAGGGCTCCCACGTGCACCAGTTCGCCCCGGAGTGGCGTAAGCCCATGGTGCGTCTGGAGTGGTAGATGGGACGGTGATGCAATAGAGGATAGGGGTCATGGACGGTTTTAAATACCGCTATGGACGTCTTCGTATTCTTTGCAAAGCCGCACGCTCAACTGGGGAAGCCCCTCTTTGGCGCAGTCTCTTGTGGAGGTACCACCTCGTCAAAGTCACGTGCGAGGTGGCCTCCAAGTGGCGTATGCGTTCCGTCAGCATGAATAGCCTGCGCACACGCACAACACGCTTTGCGGACTAGGACTAGAAAAGGCTTTCGCGTGTACAATCCAGCTGAAACACTGCATTCGTGGATGAGCCAGTTTGCGCAGTCGATGTTGTTTTGATAAGCAAACACACGCTGACTCATACAGCCCCCTGGCGTGAACCTACTGATGTGTTCGGAGAAAGTGAAGTTGTTTTTATTCCGGCGCGGTGGCAGGCATACGTCAGTAATACGCACGCACCCTGCGCCCCCACGAAAAAATGGTCGATTGTGCGCAAAACATGTTTTTGCTCTGGTCGGCAAGAATCCAAGCCCCCCCCCCCAGGTTTCCTCATGGTGCCATCCTCTGTTAATTTTGTTCTTCTTGACGTCGTCTTGCGTTTTTGTCTTTGCTTGCACCAGTCGGTGGAGCCGGAACAGATCGGCGCCTTCTTCAAGCCCGGAAAGGGGATAATCGAGCCCACGCTGCAGCCCCCGCCGGAGTTGAGGATGGCCGGCATTCAAGGTGAGCGCCGGTTTTTTCGCACGTATCCCGCTCCCGAGCTGGTGGAGACACAGCACACTCTAACTCGAAGTTGCGCCTCTGTTGTGGCTGCAGTCGCTTTCGTCATCGCTTGTGTAGTGGAGAGACACGGTGCCCCTTTTTTTTACCCGAAACCCCAAGCTTACTGCGAACGAAGCGGCATGGTGGTGTGTTTGCCTACCCTGCACCGTGCTTGCTTGCCCTGGCTTGTTGTGTGGACTCGGTTAGTCACAGTTGGCCGCCCGGAGAGGATATATATGTACAGTAGATGAATCAAACGCCGCGTTTATTGCCCACGCCTAGAGAAGGGAGAACACACACGGAGAGAGAGCTACATTGGTGTTACTGCGCCCTTGGTGGTTGTCCAGGTGTAACACACTTTCTGCCGCTGCTGGTGCTGCTGCTGTTTCTCGCGGCAGCACTTTTCATCCACCCTTCGCCTTGAAGGTCATAGACCTACTGTTTTCGTCTGTACGTGGTTATGTTGTTGTCCGAATCTAGCGCACGGACGTCAATAATGGAGACCTGAACCTCCGTCGCTTATTATTCATCACGGGTGACTCTTTTGGCTCCCACTCACGATTTTTAACAGTCCTTCCCGACTTTTGCGACAGCACCGTATACTGTACCATCAACAAAAAAACGGCCGCAATACATATGTGTGCACCTGCAGGGAAGGACCTCAACCAGGGGTACCTGAACTACGTGGAGCCCGACAGCACCTCTTCGACTTCGGAGATCGCGGAGATGCTGGACGAGACTCCGGGTCTAGAACGGGTGTGTGCGCTACAGTATAACCATAGCGTTTGCGGTTTTGTTTAGATTTTTTTGGCTTTTGTCGACAACGCTATGCACCTGGCCGAAGGAAAAGGTTTGCGTCTGAGCGACGTGTGCGTGTCTCTGTGATTGATCTGTTTTGTTTTTGGTTAGGGTTGGGGTCGTTGTTTTAATGCGCGTGAGGCATTCGGCTGGACGAGACGGCTGCCCTGTTGTGTTATATGGACTCCTCCTTTCTACAGCATGGAATGTCATCATTGTTGCTATCCTCATTCGAAAGACCGGCTTTTAGCTGTGCGTGTTATAGGTCAAGTTCAGTCCCGAAATGTCAACAAACTGAAATTTGGTGACCATGTTCTTCTGCCGGAGCGATGAAACGCCGAACCGCAAGTCCCATGGAGAATAGCTTTTTCGATAACTTCTGCGGTTTGCTCGGGTCTGCCTGCGAATGAAAAACACACACTTACCCTCAGTTTTTGTACGCCAATCCCGTGCAAAGACTATCATTCCCTCGCATTCCTTGCTGGTCGCCCCGGCGGTCTAGTTGGTATCCTCGAAACCTTCTAGAGGTCAGGTCAGGGGTTCGAATCCCGGCGTAAGCTTTTTCTTGCAAAGTGAGTTTTTCTCTCGCTTCCGCTTCTGGCCTAGTGGATAGCGCTAGTTCGTGTGTACACAGAGGGAAGAGAGTGCTGAACTCTTCTCGCACTAAAAATCGAAGGCAAAGTACCGCAGGAGGGGAAGGTAGAGAGGGGCTCTTCTGTGTGACCACGGGTTGGAGTAAACGGCACTACAGTGCTGTGAGCGCTGATTTGAAGTGAAGACAAAAAAAAAAAATCCCTTTTTGCGGATGGCGTAGGCAAACGATAGTAAAACAGCGGTTAAAAGGAGTTGCAGTGCGATCACACACGAACAACATTTCTGCGTATTCCCCCTCCTCGGCTGTTTTTCTCGCGCTCCGTTCGTGCTTGCATGACCTGTTTGTCAAAAGCCTCCTTGTTTTCTGTGTTGCTCCCATGGCACGTTCTCCTCTTGGTATTGGTGTTTGTCCCCCTACATCGTCGCCCGGGCCCGGCCGAGCGGCGACGCTTGTCGTCGATGTTTGACATGTTTTTCCCTCTCCACGAACTTTTGAGATGTCCCAGAGGCAGCGGCGTCGGGCCTCGACACCGAGCCCGGCGATGACACTGGTTTGACGTCCTTTATTGTGTGCTCTTTTGCCTTGCTGTGTTGTTTCGCCCCTCCTGCTTTTTGGTTTTGCCTTGTCTTGTGTCCGTGCGATGCCGGATGCCGGGGGAGAAGGAGGAGGAGGCTGCTCACTTCATCACGTACCGAAACAACCTCAACAAGATCCTCGTCACGCCCTACTCCAAGCAGAAGTGGGAGATGGAGGTAACAGTCGCTCGGCTTCGTCAGCGTGGCCCGCCACGAGGCGTTGTACGACGAATACTGTTGTAAACGTCACCTTTTCGAATATAAACCACTACAGCAGTAGATTGTCACTGCGGCTGACACTGATGCGGCGGCCTAGATGTTCAACTCTTGGTCGTTGCGGGGAGGGCTCGCGCAAAGCGGTGTTGATCGCGAGTGGTTCAGGTGCACGGTATGGTACGATGTGGTACGATGTGGTACGGTAATCCCGTCCTCACGTCTTTCTTGGGGAAGCGTCAGGATTGGAAACCAAGAGAAAGGATGGCTGTTTTTTTTTTTTTTCTGTGTGATACGTGCTGTACGTTTGTCATCGGGCCCGCGGCACACGCAGAAGGACAACGCAAACGTTTGCTGCTACATACTACCGTTGCCGCTGCCTGATGTTGTGAAGAACAACACACGCAAACACACACACACCGTCTCCGCCTCTACAATGATCCGTACAAGGTGTTCAAAGAAGGAGGCGTTATCTACCTCGAGGTGGTGATGACCAACCGAAACCAGGGAAAGCTCGACCGCACTAGCTACTGGGGGAGGAGGTTCGAGACCTTGTGCGTGCTGGGGGTGGAGGGGGCCAGGCTCGACGAGCTGCAGAGGGGGCCAGGCGATCTCCCCCGGCCGAGCTATTGCGGGCTGTATCGGTCGAGGCTGGGCAGCCACAATCTCTTGATGGGTGAGAGACGGAAAGGGAAAGAGAGCCTCCGAATGGGTGTGGGGATGGTTTTATCTAGAAAGGGGGATAGCGTTGCCTACGGCAAGTGAAAGAAGGGATCAGGACAAGCGACAGGAAGCGGCATGTGGACGGTCATGGAAAGCATGCCTACACCGTTTTTGAGGTGTCTTGTGTGTGTGTGTGTGTTTTTTTTTTTTTCGCGTGTGTATTTTTTCTGTGTAGGAGAGAACACGGGGAGAGGGGCGCGCGGGGGGGCTTCGACGTTCAGCGGTGGTTGGTTCGCATTGCGCTGCGCTCGCGTGTTGGAACGGCCGCATTTGAGCGATGCTTTTTTGGGAGGTTGTATATGTGTGCACGTGTACGTTTTTATGGTTGTACAACGCGATTTTTTTTTTTTTTTGCGCCTTTATTTTACGAAAAGCTTGCCATAGATGGTATGTGATGTCGAGATGGGCCGAGCTTGAGCGGGTATGTACCTGTTGCTAAGTGCCGCTTCATCTTTTCTGTGTTGTTTTGTGGTGAGGCTTGTTTTTCCTTCTTTTTTCTGCCAGAAAAGTCAGCAAATTAACGGACGTTTACAATATAGCGCACTACTGCCCTTCTCCTCCGCCCCCGGGTTTGCCGAGGACAAGATAATCTCTTGCGCTGAAGCCCCTTTTCGTTTCCGAAATAGTCGTATGTGTGTGTGTGTGTATTTTTCAGGTGCGGAGATCGACGCGTGCAGGCCCGGTGACCCCGGAAGGTTCGTCGAGATCAAGACCACGAGACTCATCAGAGACTCCAAGGTGTGCCGAGGCGTGGTTTTGCGTTGTGTTCATTTGCAAGTGGGAGCAGGAGAGGCCGTGAGCGTGTTGGTTACAGTACCCTCGATGTTGTCACACTACATACGAAGAATTCTTCTCGTGATCGATACCCCCTCCGTCCTTTTTCATGTTGATTCGCTGGGTTTGATCTATTAATAGAAGTATTGCGGCCCGCCTGCGTCTCTGCCTGAACGCTCTTGGTTCGCTCACACTCTTGACGCGACTGCCGGCCACGAACCGCGCCCTCCTCCCTACACCTACCTCCCGACAGGACGAGCAGATCTTCAAGAAGCACAAGACCCTCAAGTACTGGGCGCAGTGCTACTTGGCAGGCGTGCGGGACATCGTTCTCGGGTACAGAGACGATCACGGTGAGCGACCGCTAGAACCAGCGATGACCGCTAAGAACAGCGATGACCGCTAAGAACAGCGATGACCGCTAAGAACAGCGATGACCCCTAAGAACAGCGATGACCCCTAAGAACAGCGATGACCACTAAGAACAGCGATGGAAAGGGAATGGGGGGGTTGGTAGGTGCATAGAGGGGGGCTAAAAGGAGTCTTCTCGCCTGGCATTGTCTTCTGTTGTATCAACAGGCCGGCGCACGCGTGTTGGTGTTGGTTGTTTAATGTTGGTCTTGTTTTCTGGATGAGAGGCAACCGGTAGACGCGAGAACGTATTGCCACAGTTTGTATGCCTAATACTTGTCATTTTCCACCATGTGACCGGGCGACGATGTACCGACGGCTGTCGGGATCATTGACACTGGCTGTCCTTGTTTGTCGCATCGGTTGTTTATTCTGTGAGTCATGTCCGTCGTCCAGCGCCCCACCACCGTGACCATCGATATAAGTATCACCACGTCCTACCAGTCGATAGGAGTATATCCCACCGTTGTCCTACTTTGCTTGGCTCGGTTTTGATCTCCTCTTTAGTGTGGTGTGCGTGCTAAATCTTCACGTGGAAAGTGTGCATACGTGCTATTATCATTTGTTTTTGGTACATATTTCGAAACGTAAGCATATGTGTCCCGCATTCCCGTTCCCGCATACAACGCTGCAGGTATAGTTCGGGACGTCAAGTCTTGGACCACCGACGGACTGGTGGAATCTGTCGACAAGAACAAGGTGAGGACGATAGGAGAGCTAACACTAGCGCTCAGGCCTGGGGTCGAAAACTCTCGTTTTTCAGAGTGCCGGGAAGCGAGGTATCCGTGTCAACCTGAAACTCGACACAGCAGCAGCGGCAGAAAGATGTGTGTTCGGGGGGCAATGGTACATGTAGTGTACTTTTCTTGTGCCAGTCGATGAGAGGACAAGAAAGGAGGGGGGGGGGGTAGGGGGGGGGGCGAAGGTGGAGTGGGGCAGTGGCAAGAGGAGCCCAATAACGCGACCAACTGCCCGCATCCGTTCTTCGTACCGCGTGATGCGACCACGCTGACGGGATGTGCCGCCTGCTCGTTTTCGCTTTTTGTTCACTTGCTGTATTTCGTCAACAGACACACACAAACGCTCGACGAAGTATCAAAGAACCTTTTCTGACAACCAATAGGTTGAGCGCAACGGAACTTGGAATTCCTACTAGCGCAGAGATCAGACCGCCCTTTCGACCCTTCTTGTACTTGTGCGCTCCCCGTTTTCGACAAAAGCACACGCTCACAAATGTATGTATCTTCCTGCCCCCCCCCCTTGCCCTCTCGTCTATGTCTACATGCATCCCGACATATGCTTCCAAACTTGCCACTCTGCTTGTTGTGTGTGTGTGTGTGTGTGTTTGTTCTTTGTTCGCTCGCGGCTTAAGCACTGGGACAAGGACGTGTGCCTGAACTTCGCCGACCGGTGCTTGTCGTTCCTCAAGGACAACGTGGACGAGGGCTTGCGCTACAGCTTCAAGTACCTCGAGCCCTTCGACCACCTTACCCTAGAGCAGCTGGCCCCGCAGCCGATGGCTGCTGGCGGTGTTTCCGCCGCCACCGCCGGCGCCGGCGCCGGCGCTGTCCCCGGAGCACCGCCTGGCGGCGGCGTTGGGGCGGGTTACGCGTAAAACAGTTTTGTCGCAGGTGCCCACCTCGACTGCTGTCTTCCGTGTTTACCGCATATGTCGCAGACAATATGGCGCGTTTCATGACGTGCCGCGCGATTTCGCCGAGTCTGCATGTATGTTTGAGGGAGTGCCCGGGGCCGCGGGGCAAGTCAAGTTGTTGGTCTCCGTTGGGATGGTTCGATGGGGACAACTGCTTACACCCGGTTCCCGTGTAGCCTTGCTTACGCGTCTTGGCGCATGTGGTGGGTAATTTAGTCGAGAGCGGGCCGTTGATGATATTGTGTTCCAAGGTTCGGCTACGCTGGGTGTGTCCGACGATAGTGTCGAACGGTATTCCGGTCAAGTGGTGCATGGCGCACATGTATCCGCCGATAGGGGCACCGGCGCCCCTGGAATCCGTACGCCACCCCGCTCAGGCATGCGCGTTGTTTGTGGCGGTTGTAGCGCAAGAGTCCGTGTGCGAGACGTTGTTGTGGTGGTGACATAGAGAGGGCGTCAGGCTGGAACAAAATCCGGCGGCATTGCGCGTAGGAATGCCATCTGCAGACGACGAAAGAGGAGAAACTGACTATTTATTATTTTAGAAAAGACAAGAACACTGCTGGCAGGCAGGCTCGTCTGCGTGCGTTGCGATTTTTTGGGGTGGGGGGTGCCATCTCCCCTAATACACCTTCGGTATTGATTGTTTCTGGATGCACCAGCAAGGGTCACACAGACAGGAGGAAAGAAGGCCACACAGAGTTTTTTGCCTTCTCGTTTTCCTTCTTTTCGGTGCTTCCCTTGATTTTGGTCGCGAGAAGGAAGGGGTGGTTCAGCCGTTACTTCACCGACCGTGAAGTTTCAGTAAATAACAATGCGCACCAAATACCAAATCGTTTTCCGCGTTGTTTAGGGAATCCTCCTCTGAAACTCATGTGAGAAAAAATCCCAGGTCGTGTGATTGCACCATCCCTGCCAACGATCTTTGTCTGCTCTCTCTCTCTCCCTGTCACAAAGCCGAGGTTTGTGCCTGGGGTTTGGATTTGTTTGGGGACTTCGTTGCGCGTGGCACCAATTGCACGTTGTTTGCACCGCAACCAACCGTTGTAGACTATGTTTCGACTTTCGACAGCGGATGAGCAGCTTGTTTGTGTATCGTATCGGCAGGGATCCCTGCCGATACTGCGGCGGTGGTCGCTCGTGCTATCTGTCTCGTGTGGTGGTTCGTAAACAACCACCGTCAGTTAGTGTTGATCTGTTTGAGTCCAAGCAGAGGTGCTTTTCTGTTTTCGCCTGTTCCGTCCTACAGCAGCATCAGGTCGATGCTTAATTATATTTGTGCAGGTCTTTTCATTGGCTTGCGGACCCTTCGGGTCCATTTTATTGTCTTATACCCTTTTTGGGAAAGTTAGCCTGTGACCAATCGACCCCGTCAAGTGTAAGACTAGTACGGACAGAAGAAGGTACCGGGCAAGAGAGAGCAGAACGGTTTTTCATATTTGAAGACAACAAAAACGACAACAACAACCTGTACACACGCTGATGAGTAAAAAAAAGGGTTGAATGATCTCGAGAATCGCGGCTGGCTGCTCTCTGCTGTTGGGAGGTCTATTTACACTCTGTTAGTGACTCAATTACTGTCTATTTACACTTTGTTAGTGACTCTTTAGGTCTATCCGATGTTGTTGCACTTTGCAAGGCTAGGTTCCTCACCCCACATCTACCCTAACCCTCACCCACGGCCAAAGCACGGCCTAGCGGCCGCGAACTGGTTTTCTCGGAATTTCAATGCGGAACGGCGAGAGGGCGCTGGAGAGGGTCAAGGCTAGGAACCAACGCCGGACCAATCAGAGGGCGTGAAACCGCGTAGATACGAAGATTCACTAATAACAGGTTGCAAATATCACTGGTGGCTGTTGGCCTGGGGATTTTCGATTTTCGGATTTTCAATCTGCTGATTCCAGCCCCGGTGGTCTAGTTGGTATCCTCGAAACCTTCTAGAGGTCAGGTCAGGGGTTCGAATCCGGCGTAAGCGAGCTTTTCTTGCAAACTGAGTTTTTCTCTCGCTTCCGCTTCTGGCCTACCTAGCGAATAGCGCTAGTTTGTGTCTACACAGAGGGAAGAGAGTGCTGTGCTCTTCTCGCATTAAAAATCGAAGGCAAAGTACCACCGCAGGAGGGGAGGGCAGAGAGGGGCTCTTCTGTGTGACCACGGGTTGGAGTAAACGGCGCTATTAGTGCTGTGAGCGCTGATTTGTAGTGTTTGAAGTGAAGACAAAAAATAAAAAAGAGTATAGACATTGCTTTCCTTCTTGCATAAGAGTTGGCCTGAGATCCTGAGATCTTGAGATCTTGAGATCTTCGGACCGCGCTGTAACACCCATTCATTGTCTGTATGTTGTTGAACCATACATGCTACAATACAATACAATAGACTCAGCTGTGACCGACCGAGGTATACTACCGAGGGTGAACAACAACAAGCGGCGATCCTAGCGAAGAACAGTCTTTACAGTCACTATACTGACCAAATGGCCGTCACTACCGCCGTACTTGGGTACGTACGCGTGTGAGCCTCCCAACGGCCGGCGTTCCTGGTTCTGAGTTCTGAGGTGTTTTTACTGGCGAGGTTGGAGACGTAGACTAAATAATGGTTGGAGGTCCCCAAAAAGTTTTTAAGGCTACACTACTATACAATCACAGAAATACTGTCCGGATCGGAGACACTACGTGCCACAGTAGTCGAAGGGGGCGTGATGACGGTCCTGGCAGTGAGTAGGGGGAGAAACCTGCCGGATACACGGGGCTCATATGAGTCTGACGAGATGTTCAACGACGTTTTGAACTGGCAATCGAATGGCCCCTGTGTCGTTGAGACACGCCGGGCTTTTCGGATCGACCAGAAATCATGCTAAAAATTATTTTTCCCACCGCATCTCTGTATCCACTGTATATCTCCGCAGTAGAGAGTCCCCGGTACATTTTTATATCCGACCTCGTGGGATCTAAGTGGATCCCTGATCATAATGCGGCTGTTGATCACACGTTTGTTCTTGTGCTTGCATGGCACTCTGGTCGGGGTCTTTTTCTCTTGGACAACTTGCTGCAGCTGACGCGGTTCATCTGTTCATCTGTTTACGTAACAAACCCGATAGAACGAATGTTCTTTGTTTTCTTTCTCCGTGCAGAGATGTTCTCCCCCCCCTGCAAGGCGCAGCAACCATCACACAAGCCCCCGCTGCCCCCGCCCTCTTGGCGCCAAGGGGACATTCCGTTGCAGCGCCATGGAAAGCGAGCAAGAACCCAAGCGCCGCGGCCGGTGGATCGTGAGTGTGGGTTGTACGATAATAGCTTCCTGGCGGCGATATCCTACCGGCCCATTAGAGCTTGTGCACCGCCTGGTGCAATTTTGTCGCTGCCCGAGATTCAACAAGAACAAATGAGAGTAGCGAAAGGTTACACCGTCCGTATTATGGTGGTCGTTCTAAGCATATGTACATATCCCCCCCTGCAACTGCCGTGTCTGGACACTGGGCTGCTGCTGCCGTCTGGGGTAGCAACACTGGTCTCATGGGATCCTCGCTGGCCGTTAACTCGCGTTGCTTCGTCCCGAAGGGACGAGTTTCTGCCCGTTATCCTGGCTTCAACAACGGCAAAATGGGGGTCTGTGAGGGCGAATTGGATCAGACGCGCATGCGGCATACAAAGCAGTAATATGCATAGTCTGAAAAAGTAGAATGTTCGATCGGAGCCAAGTTTCAACCCCTCGACCACCACCATCTCTTGGCCTTCGCCTCCCCCCCTCCGTGGCGGTTGCCCCTCGCTTTTCCTTTCTCTTGCAAACATCGTGTGTGACACCGCGCAATACCACAGGTGGAGGAAGAGGATTTTGCCCGCGCGTGCATCAATGCGTTCAGCTCCGGGATGCTGGCCGAGGTAGAGGATGGCACCACTCTGCGAGCCTTCCTGGCGTCACGACTGCACTGCCAGCCCATGAGGGGTGTGTAGCAAGTGTTGGTGTTACGAGCAGTTAATTCATCGTTGGCACCTATATGGACCAGAGTTGTGGTGTGTAGCGGCGCTGGCTCCTGCTTTGTTCTTTTGCCTTCCCACAGGACAGAGAGTTGAATAGTCTTTTTTTTACGCACACTTAGCAGCGCAGTGTAGGATACGACTTTGGCGTTCAAGGATCGCAAGATCCGGGTCTTTACTGCTGCTGTGCTGTGCTATGGCCGTGTACTGCTGCAAAAATTACACAAACCTTACAAATGTACGACCTCGTCTATTTGTACACGCGCCCAGAAGGTCCGTGAGGAACGTACATACAGGCGAGAAGCAAGCGCCCACAGCCCGGGGCTGAGAGCGTCGTGATAATATGTACTTGTATGCTGTGGTCGGTTCCAGTCGAACCTGTTATTTTGTTGTTTTCACCTATTTTCAGTCGTTACTCTCCGTTCGTCTTGAGTGCTTGCGGAATCCTTCGGGACGAAGCAACGCGAGTTAACGGCCAGCGAGGATCCCATGAGACCAGTGTTGTACTTGTTCGTTTTCAGAGTTGCACCTCACTCAGCAGGCGTTTTCGGTCGAAATTATTTGATATTATTAGTAGGCCCACCGTAGTCCATCCAGCGGCCCATTTAAAATGGGCCGCTAGATCCTTCTCGCATCAGAAGCGAAGCTTTTGCGGGATCCTCTCTCTGCTGGTGGCAGAGGACTGCTGCTGTCGTCCAAAGGGCGCACTTTTGACCCCACGTGTCGCGAGCATAGCGACGGGGGGGCAGAGTGCCCCACGCCTTTTTACGATTATTGTTGTTGAAACGAAGTAAGCGGAGAAACTCCGTGTGGGCGAGTTATACGGCATTGGTCATCATGTGTAACCTGCACTCGCTCGAGCTTTCCAAGAAGTACCGTAGGTGGCAAATGGTGTACCACACCCCCAATGTTCAAAGAGCGGCTAGGAGAAAGTGCTTTTGACCACCTCCCATTTTCAAAGCTCGGCTATGTACTCCGCAGCAACGAAGAGCGGGGGGCGTCGAAAAAGTGGCAAAAGCGTTGGAACCGGCCGGTCGATGACTTTCCGAACAATGTGTCGTTTGTGTTATACCGCATCCTTTTCGCCCGTGGAGTACTCAAACTTTAACAATCGGTGAAGGAGGTGTAGTGTCTTACATATATATGTCCTACAGTAGGTGCGGTTGCGTACCGAGAACGAACGTGATGAGTGGCTCGACACCCAAATTCTTTGCAGTGTATACAATACTTGGTAGGTATTTTTCCAACACACGCGGCCGCGCTCAAATGTTCTTCCGCTCGCTCGATTGGAATCGTTTTGCCGCGTTCAAGTCACCAAGAAGCTCCACGGAAGCAAGGGCATGGGGAAGAGGCTCTACCGCAGGGCCCAAGACTCCAACCCGGCGTCCATGGACGCAGTCGCTCACGAGCTGAAGGCTCTAGAGGAGCGCCTGGCGGCCAAGCTACTCGCAAACTCCGACGGGTGGCCGGGGCTCATGGACAGAAGGGCAGCCCAGCAGGCTGCATCAGCCTCCGCGTTGCTCGGCTCCGGACGACGGGACGGTCTTGCGGGCGTGTCGACGGGAGCTCTGCGTGAACCGCGCCCGCCCGAGAGGGCGGGGAGCGGGAAGGCGGGACACGTGGGAGGTGATGTGGGAGCTCCTGGCGGTTCGGGGCACAAGAAACAGCGCCACCCTTCGAGCGCAAATATGTTGCCAAGGTTGGGCCATCGTCGCCGCCCGCCGACGGGCACGGTGCTAGCGGCACCACCGACACCGACGCCAAAATCGGAAACAGGAGAGGCGGCGACGCAGGGCCATTGCCGGCGTGCATCTGGTGACACCAGCCGTGCCGCCACGGAGGCTACGCCCAAACACCGTCGCCGGCGCATTTATAGCAGCGTCGGCGAAGCCCTTCAGACGAAACCGTCAAAGCAGCACCACCGCCAGTACCTGAGCCAGCGCAAGGAGCAGAAGCGGGAACACGAGCGTTCGACGACGACCGAAGGAGGGGGGGGGGGATGGCCGAGCCCGGTGCGGAGCCCCGCTGCCACCTTGTCTTTCCTCGACCCGACCGCCAGCACTAACCACGGCGACGATGACGGCGACGAGGGCAACGACGACGACGACAACGGGTACGTCGCGGGCGATGCCAGCGAGTCCGAGCGCAGGTCAACTGCGGCCTTTATCGCGGCTGTGGAGCTGATCGACAACGCGGGCCCTGTGCATCTCGGTTCCGGCTTAGGAGGTTGTGACGATGTCGGTGCGACCAGCGGCGATGGCACCAGTCCCTTCTTCGACGGCGACGGCAGCTTCAGCAGTTACCGTAGCGACAGCGGGTATTCTTCTCTGCTGAGCAGCGCCCAAGGCGAGAGCGGATCGCGCTTGGGAATCGACAGTGTTGGACCCACAACGTCCACTGATCATCGCGGCGTGACCCCTCGCACCGCCGATCCCGCCACAGCTGTCGACCCAAGCAAACCGCTGACACATGAGCAGCAGCAGAAGGGCAACGCTCACGTGCACAGCCTCTACGGCCGCGAAATACCGCTGGAGGCCGCACTGGGGTACGCGATGGCCCCCGTTCCGAGGCTAGACCAATACACCGCCCGCCGCGCGGTCGAGCCGAGCGGCAATGGTTCTGGCGGATCCGACGCCGACTATTATTCTTCCCTCGGGCATTCAGCAGTTGAGCGGCAACGAGTGCAGCAGCAGCAGCAGCAGCAGCAGCAGCAGCAGCAACAACAACAACAACAACAGGAGCTACCTTGCATAGCATGGCCGTGGTTTGACTCACAACGGCTGAGGGGAGGGGTGAGCGGTATCACGCAACCGCCCGGGTCGACTAAACCAGAATGTCAACGGTTGTGCGAGGGGGGCAACGACACAGAACGTACGGACAGGGGGGATGGTGAAACTACGGCGTCAGAGGAGGCTGCTTTGTCGTCGATGGTGACGGGCGTGGACAACTGGCATTCGGTGAGTGAACGCGTTGTCCGTGACGGGGGTCTGAAACGTGCGTAACTTCCGGTTCTAAGGCTGTGGTGCAGCACGTGGTGAGGAAGTTCAGATGGTGTTTTTTTGTGTGCGCGCTTTTGCCGTCGTGAGCCCTCATCAGAAAACATCGTTGGCCGGCCGATGTTCCTCAATCGCCCCGCCCCTACCAAACCGCCCAGCCCTTTTAAAGCTCTTGAACTCTTTAGTGATGCTCACGGATCCCCCAGTAGGCCCACGTCCAAACTATTCAGGTTGGTCCGCCCTGCATGGCGTAGGTTTGGAAAACTTCTCTTGGCGGTAGTGAGGACGACTGAGTGTCGTGGCAGTGCCGTCGCTGGCTGGTTCAATAATACCCTGCCGTCTTTCTCACTCGGCACCTCCCGCGCCGCGCGTTTCGTCGTTCTCTTGATGCCAGGTGCCGTCCAATCGTCGCCCCCTTTCCTACGACGCCGAAAAGTCGCCTTGCTCCGCGGCGCTACCGGCGGCACCGTCGTCTGGCGCTGCTGGTTTTGTTGGGGCTGCCATGGCCCGGGCAGGCTCGAGGATTACGTTGGAAAACGCAACGATGGACGACTGGATCCCTGGTGCTGCAGAGACAACCACCGGGCCGCAGAACGTGAGAGAGACTGCTTGCCTCCGTAGCATTGAGCCCCACGACGACGGACGCCCGTGCTCACATCCAGGCGCTTAAAAGCAGTTTCCTTGCGGCCACTGCCGTGGCCATATAGAAGTGATGATTAAAACACGCGGTAACTGCCGGTCTGGACGAAAGGGTGTGCCAGAGACTATTCTCCATACAACTCGGCATTTCCCGCGCAGTACAAAACCTCTCATGCCGGCAAAGATCCGACGCGCCCCGTCCAGAGTCTTGCGGGACTATCGGGGTCTTTGACCCGAGGATTTCCACCATGCACAACAATTACCGTCCTCACCACGCCGCCGCCGGCGCCGCCTCTCCCGTGGTCGATAAGTAGAGACGAAGAACAAGCCAACAACCACGCGTCTTCGCAGCACCGTTAATCATAGGCTCCCGATGTGAATATTTCTTGTCGAATATCGCCCCGTGATCTGCACTGTTGACACCCCTCACCTTCCCTCCGCCACAAGGGAAAAACGACCACTACCAGAGATCGAGCCCCCCTTTATAAAGTATCTTTCCCGTCCGACAAACGCGCGCCTGCTCAGGAAACCCTCGGTCTTCCTCTGGTGAGTGAGGGAATTTCCTCCTGGTGGCTGAACCAGACAACAAGCCAGAGCGTAGCGCAAGGGGTCAGTGCGGCTACAGCGCCGGCGACGGCTCCGGCGGCGTCAGGGACAGCCGAGCAGGGCTTCGACACGTGGTTGATGCCATAGAGGACGCCCTTCGCCCTCCAGCATCGTGGCACCGACCGAGGTGTAAGCGGTCGAGCTCCTCTTCCTTCCGACCACAGCTGCGGCGGCCGCCTCGAGGCGAAATTCGGCCTTAAATAGCTGCCCTCTGGTAATATATCATGATCCCCATCGAGTGACCCAGGAGCACTCGGCCGGTGGCGGGGACGGCACCCTTTCAGCACCCACGTCCCGGAGATATTTTCGTTATGCAAAGCTTGCGACGGCCTGATCGCGGTGACTCGCGCGCCAGACGAAGCCGCTTAGGGACGGCGCGCCCCGCTGGAACCCCGGGGGCTATGCCTGGCCGATGGCCAGCACATGTCTCTCATCGTTCTTTGGGTGAGCTTGGGTGGCTGGCGGTTGTCGTTTAGCCGGTGGGAGTTGGCGATTTCATTCGATCCGACCGGCTGAATCAAGTTTCGGTTGTTCTATGTTTCTTCCTTTTCTTGGGGTTCTGCTCGACATGGTGCGGTTTTTCCCTGGGCGCGCAGCACGCACCCCATGCCCTTGCTGCAACGCTTCCCCTTCCCTTGGTGTTTGTAGTAGAATAGGGAACTGCATTGACCTTCGAGTAGAATATTAGACCGATGGCATGGTCGTTCCACGGTGGACGCGTTCAAGACAGGGGTGCTTGCTGTACCTCTCCCCCATGACTGTTTTTCGGCCCAAAGAGTTGTTGGGTGTTTTGTGGTAGATGAAGATTCGTGTTGGGGGACCGGTGTTGGATTGAAAACTTGATGGGGCACGAGGTGAAGAGCTTGGTGACTATTTACAAGGATAACCTAAGCCTCGGGAGGCGATTGTTTTCCTGTTTTTCGGCGATTAAAAAAATTGACGAAAGGGGAACGGAGCCGCCGCAAGGGAATGCTTTTCGGGGATTTTCTGTGACACATTAGAAAGAAGGGCGAACACCACAAGCTGGTGTTTTCGGCGTCGTTCGCGAAGAAAAGGATACGAAAAATGGGCGAAGCACGACTGGTTGTGTTGATTCATGCAGCTGAACGGCCGCGTGTAGCAGGTTGGCGTTGCAAGAGGATGGGGAGATGATTGTACCGCAGGTGGTAGGAGCCCAATACGTAAAACGGGCGTTGAATCAACGTTTCTGTTCGGCGGAGAACGTTGAAAAATGGCCCAATTGTAGTCGTTCATCAAGAAACGGCGGTTGATTTTTCAATTTTCGGCAAATGCCGGTGACCACGAACGAAAGATCGGAGTTTACGGCGAGCGCCTCCGAGGCGCAACCTAGTCACCAGTATCTTTGTTTTCTGTATTCGTTCTTCCTGTGTGACATATTTTCTATTTTTCGTTTATCTTTGCTGTCTGTCGTGGTTGGAGCTTCCACCAGAAGTGTGTGTGGTGCCTGCCCACGCCCAACCCACGAACGTGTGCAGGGGGTGTTGTGCGCATCAGGATGTTTTTTGGTTTGGGTGGATTGTGTCGATGATGGACTGAGTGAAAGGGTTGCATGCGGGTGGGAACATTGTTCTATGTAGGTATGTTTTTCATCAAGTAGACTGGCTGTTTTGTTCCCGTTCGAGTTCCGGTTCGTCGTGATCATCGTTCCTTGACCTGAGAACGAGGGGGATATCAAGTAGTAGCTGAAAGCGTGCACACACGCGGTACGGTCGTATGTGGAGCCAAAACCGGGCATTCTGCTCATAGTCGTTAAACATTCAGCCGGCCATGGTCGATGGCGGGTAGTACGTACAATGCCTCATTCTCGAGAAATGTAAATAGGAATATTGTTGTATGCGTGTTTTTGTTTCGTAGGCGCGAGCGCCTTGTACGTAGTGGGATGATAGATGGCAGCCCGTGGGCGACATAGAAAAAAACGAGGTGTTTGTTGCGTGGGGCGGTTGTCGGAGCTTCAGGGCTTGCCTTCTTGTTGCCCCCCTACTTTACTCAGCATGAACCTTGCGAATACGCACAGTGATTGTTTGTTTGTCTGTTACGTTCCTTGGTGTCGGGGTAAGATGTCGGTTTTGGACTGAATGGATTAATGGGTCCTCCACCAACACCTTGGGTAAGAATTTGTCCAATTTCAAGATGAGATCAGCAACCAGCACAACAGCGGCCAAAGAGAGCAAGCGTTCCGAGTGATTCGAGCCCCGTCCCGTGAAGATGGACTACTATCTCACGCCTACGGCCTTACGTTGACCCCCTGCTTGTATTTTTTGGATTAGAGAGTGAGCTTGCGCGAATCGTTTGTCCACGTCTAATCGCGCACTGGGCTACAGAGTCAGCCACGGACAAGAGCAAAAGCACGATTCAGATATACTTCGTGCATGGGGTTGGCTATCGGTCTGTGGGGTAGAGGGTACTCCCACCCTTTATATGGCGAAGAGTATACGTAGAGAGAAGGAAGACTACGCTACGCAGCGCCAATATTCGAACCGAACCCGGAGCGGGCAGAGGCCACTTTCATTGATTGGCGTTTGCACAGACACACAGTCAGCCCCGGTTTAGGCAGAGGTATACCGTTCTTTCAGGCCCAAATCCCCTTCGCCCCCTACGTTGCGTGACTACAGGAGTGTGAAGCGTCAGATGGGTTCCGGTCGGTAAGTATGGGAATAAACAAATGCGCTTCTCGGTGCCGTACAGCTCTCCTTTAAATACGACACCTGGACGATCATCGTTTGTCTTCCCCTTTCCAATTGTTTCCTTTACGTCCTCCCGTCGGTTGAGCGGAGGTTGCGGCTGCAAAAATGTGCTCGTCGTCGTTTCGGCTCTTCAACGGGTCACTTGTGTCTACCGGGGACTCTTCGACATATCGTCTCCAATGACTGTATGTAGACGATGCGGGTATACTTCTGTCATACATAATGCACAGAATATCATCAACGGCCGCAACAGAGTCGTTCTCGTGTAGCACAGAGGAAGACGGACCCGCAATAACCACAACGCTACCACCAACACCAAACCAACAATTCCAACAACCCCACCAACACGGATGGATACAGACAGACAGACGCCGTCGGCAATCGCCTTGTTGTGGTGATGACGATGATGATGGTGATGAACGTGTCACTCCGGCGTCGATTGTGATGCTGCTCCTCCTTCTGTCTTCTTCGTGGTTCCTCGTGCATCACCGTCACGCGGCTTCTTGATGGGGCAAGTGCACAACGACAACAACAAGAACGGACTGCTCCTTTCTGGTACTGATGCAACCAACCTAGCAACGCGAATCGGATTGCGCGGAGCGGTGGTGGAAAGGGTAGCAGCAACGGGCTCCGGTCTCACGAAGACCTGACCGGGACCTGAAGGTGAGGAGAATGAAGCTCATCATCATCCAGGAGCGGATTGCAAGACACATCATAAAATAGCTAAAGCTCCCTATAACCACAGGCAAACGAGACCATAGGGGCAAGTGCGGTCACGGTATGAAAGGGAAGAAGGAAGGGGGGAGAGTCGTTTCACGTTATTGGGTGTTGTAGCACGGCGAGAGGGAAGAAAAGAAGAGACGAGATGATGAACAAAACAAACTGTCATCATGACGGGCGGGCACGATCTCTGACCATAGATAATAAGGTGGGGGTGAAGCCGAGGGGGACAAAAGGGAGAGCTATGGGTGTGGTCACCAAGACCCCGTCGATGTGTGAGATATCGAGGGAAAAGCACACTGCCTGTGCGTCAGGAGGAGATGCATATACGTTGTTGAAAAAAGGTCGAGTACGTACGGAACGAGGCGCCTGGCATACTATGTGTGCATGAAGAGAGAGAGACAAGGAGCCGGAAAAAAGGACGAGAGAGACCAACGTTAGAGCGAGACAATAAACAACGGGGGGGCTTTGGCTCGACGGCAGCTTCTTCTGGGCAAAAGGTATGTAGGACGGGCCGCGGCCGGAGAGGACCCACGGCGGGTATATCTTTCGAACCCAAAGGTATGGGTTGTTGAATGAATGGTATATATCCGAAATGCCACAAACAAACAAACTACAAACAAACTACCTAGGGTATGTAGAGGAAAAAATGAAAAAATCAGGTACCTCCAGCAGGTATGCTCTGTCATTCATTGTACTGTCTGCGAATCCCCTCTCGGGCAGTCCTGGTTCACCGTACGTTCACGGGTGCTAATCCGCATCATACCACCGACGCCAACACACCAGACCAAGCACAAAGCACTCACCAACATTCCAGCAAACGCGCTGCCAACAAAGTCTGCTTCCTGAGACAACAGCTGTTGCTGCCGAGAAGTCAGCAGCAACTTCGGACTCGGACCAACATGGCGGCACCCCGGGCGAGGCCGCCGCGGAGACGCGGCGGCGGCTCGAGCAACTCCGTGAGCACCACAAGCCGCGTGGTGATGGCCTTGATCGCTTTCCTGTCGACCGTCTACCTCTACTTGTCCCACGTCGAGGTTACACGCCACGAGATCTCGAGGCCCAACCCTTACCCACGCCTGGGGCAGAGCTTCGAAACCGACGGTAACTACGACGATGAAGACCCGAGGCAGCACGAGCCGGAAGTGTTGCGCCAAGCGAACCACCCCGCGGAGGGTCCAATGGACTACATCCCGCTGCAGTGCGACGGGGGGAAGCCGGCCGTGGACTTGTCATACTGGAAGGACATTCCGCTGGACAAGTGAGGGGTTTTTGTTGCTGCTGTAGTCCTCTGGCACGAAGAAGGAAGGTCGGAAGACAGATGTGGAACACAAAAAAAGTGGGCGACTACTTGTACAAGTACACACATCGCGAGGCTAACATGAGCAGATGAACGTTTGATCCCTTGCGATGGATGCACCCACTGCTGGTGTTTTGATTTGTGCGTGGCGTGCGGTGATATAAACACGCCAGCAGTCAGGCTATTCCTTTGCAGCCAGCGGTGATCGCAAGCGTGTGCCGCGGGCTGCTGCCTGGTTGCCATCATCATGCTCTGAGGCACCAACAGCGAGAGAGAAAATGCGGAAATGCGGAGAGATACCTACAAGAGTCCCGTGCAATAACACGCCGCGTCTTTATATAATGTGTGCCCAGCGTGCCCGATTCACCACAAACGTACATAGATTATTAGGAAATTCTCGTTCTGCCGAGAGATAGATTAGGAAAAATAAATACACTCACAGAAAGACTACCCGTTCGAGATTACCCACGTTCGAACGATAGATGCAATCTGACTTGGACTTCGACGCAAACAGCTGTGCCGGACGTGTCGACCCACGCCCGACTTCGCTTCTGTGCACTGCTGCGTACTGGGTACGCATTGTACACTCCAAGCACCGGCCTCCATCAATATTTCGCGGTTTTGATTAATCGCGGAGTGCCTCTGTGCCTCTGTCCCTCCTGTGCTTGGTACACGTTTGGAAGATACTCCATACAGGTCGGAAGTTGGTGCGGCCCACATGAACACCGGCGGTTTTATCCGCTTGACAGGCGATATATCTATCATCCATACGTACGGGTACGTATACATAATACAGCTGTTGACGTATTTTACTCCGTCGCGTGTGGGCCGCGCTGTCGGTTTTTTTTTTGTGCCCTTTTTTTTTCGCTGTTTTGCACATCCCACACAGGGCGTACGAGAGTCCGTGGGGGGCCAGCGCCCGTAAGGCGCAGGAGGAGGGGAGGCCGCAGTACGTCACCTTTGAGCCCGACCACGGGGGATTCAACAACATCAGGTGCGTTGTTTTTTATTTTTTTTTTTGCTCGTGTTTAGCGGCCCCTTAGCGTAACCCTGCGCCACGTTCTAGTTGTAGCAGCCTCCAGCACGAAGGGTCGAAGTAATCCCCCCCCGCGTCCATTTCCTTGTCGCTTGTGCAGAATGGCCATGGAGGTGATGCTGGTCTTCGCTAGAGAAACGGGGCGCACGCTGGTCATGCCAGCGGCGCAGAAGTTCTACCTGCTGAACAGGCCCGCGGTGGAATTCGCGGACATGTTCCCCATCGAGTACCTCTCGGACTACATGGACGTCATCACCATGGAGGTAAATGTGTATGCACTAAATGTGTATGCACTGCTGTGGGTGGTGGTGCTGATGTTGATTCCCATGCCTTTGGGCTGTGCTGATGATTGTTCCCGTACTTATTTAGTTGTTGCCGGTTTAGTCTTGCTGCTGCTGTCGCTTGCGCCGTTCCTGGCTGGCAGTGGCGGGGGGACAGTGGGGGTGCCGTGTATCTTTCCCACGGGGGCGTGACGATAGTTTCGTCTGCGGGCTGTGGGGACCCACGCGACGCACGTAAAATCTTCCTCGTCATCCGACAACGAGCGTCACAGCAAATTTTAAACACCATGTACACAGCGGCAATTCCATTCTGCGTAGTTTACGATGTCACCCGCAAAAAGCAACTCCTCCTGTGAGGACGAGAAGGCTTTCCATCCACGACCCCGTGGTAACCAACGTTTACGCTTCTCTTTGCTCCTGGGAATGCTCGTTGCGCACGTTTTCATTTTTGTTTATTTTTTTTTGTGCTTCTCGCAGGAATTCTTGAAGAAGGAGGGGCTCACGGGCCGACTGGGAAAGGTACCCCCTGGAAACAAAAGCTCAGGTGGGGGGGGGGGGGGAGGGGAGAGTCATGGCTCGGTTCCGGGTTTTTCCTTCATGTACGGAGGGCGATCAATGTACGCATGGGTTCGCTGTTTTGGCGGGGCCGTTGGCGTATTTTCTGGGTCCCGCGTGGTTGTGATTTGTGTCGATCCCCCCTTGCCTTTATACATGCGTCTTGCCCGTGCTGGCGACCGTTTGACGGACTGCCTGGCTGTTAGTCAGAACGCACTGATCCCTTGCTATTTTTGTTAAATGCTTTTGCCTCCGTCTGCCGTAGCAGCGTGCGTGCTTTTACTTGTGAGGCCGCAGTGCTGTGCGCGTTTTCTAAAAGAGTGCTGTGGCAGCGACATAGGGTATATACGACCCCACGTTCTCTGCTTGGTGTTGTGGGCGCGCTTGAGTACCTTGGGAGGACGGTTCACACGAGGGGGGAATATTTGCGTTGTGGGACGAAGCTCTACCTACTGCTGTAGCCTGTAGCATCGTGCCCCGCCCCCCATGGACCTGCTCCACGCCCTCCCTACTCTAAAAGAATGCACGAGCGAGCACCACATGACGGGGGGGGGGAGCACGACAAGACTGCGGCCTACGATTCCCCCTGCGCCTGCACTCCTAAAACCCATCACATCACTGTGAGCTAAAAACACGTACGCACGTGTCGCAGGGCACAGCAAGGAGGCCGTGCAAGACTACCTGCGGGAGGTTGCCGACGTCGTTCCGCACTGGCACCACATGGACGAGGCTTTGATATTCGGTCCTTCTCCGGAAGTCCCCAAGGTCCCCGATGACGAGGAGTCTCAGGCAAGTTGGGTAGGGGAGGCGATTGATTGCCGTGCTCTCTCTCTCTCTCTCTCTCTCTCTCTCTCTCTCTCTCTCTCTCTCTCTCTCGAGGAGCTGGCGGTTGATTGTTTCTCGTGCTCTCTGTCTCGAGGAGCTGGCGGTTAATTGTTTCTCGAAAAGTTGTTGTTTGTTCATGGAGCGGTGCTGCAATTGTTTTTGCTGGGACAGTTGTGCGCGTGTAGTCTCTGTTGGGTCTCCGTTTCTGTCTGAGTAGTAGTTGTTGTTTGTGACCGGTGTTGTAGTAGTATTTGCGTGGTGTTCTTGTTATGTAGATGTCGGTGCTTGTTTTTGACACGTTTTGGTCGTGGCCGTGGTTCTTTGGAGAAGAGTTGGTCGTGTGTGGACGAAAACAACGACCGCTACACGGGCAACTTTTAGCTAACGCGAGGTAGACAGACAGAGACAAGGCGTGTGGACAGCTTGTAGGGCAGAAAGACTGCAGATGTGGGTCGGGGCTAAGACGGAGTTCCCAAGGGTAACGGCTTTCTTTTGCAGATTCGACCTGGAGCAAGTCTTTACCTGCGATAGGCACAAGAATCTTGGTTCGAACAGAGACCCGCCATGCTTTCCTCTCTTGGCGGAGGATGGGTTGGCCGTCTGGCCCTCTCTCCCTCGGCGCATGCTTATTGATATGCTTGCGCAGATTCGAGTCTGATACACATAGGGTTGTTTTAAGAGGAGGTGCTGGCAAACTTTCCCGAACTCTCTGCCGGAGGGGGGGGGAGGGGGGGTGTACTCATAGTCGTGCATGCCGTAGTCGTTAGACCATTGACCTCGCATCCCTACAAAGCCGGGACGGAGCACGCCGGGTTCTCACCGGACCAGGCTCTCACATCACCAAGCGCGAAGCGCCGTGAGGTATTTGGCGAGTCGCATGAAGGGTTCTCTGCCGGAGCGGGGTGGCAATTAACGTGCCGTCGTCTCGTCTGTGCTGTGCCGTTGGATTGCTCGGCTGGATGGTTCTTCTTTCTTTATTTTCCCGCTTGTAGAATATCCTATACCGTACCGTACCGTACCATGTTTGTTGCGGGTCTTCTACGACCGCCGCCGCCGCCAACTCGACCACAACAACCCGTGTCTTCCCGTTGTTATCGTGCACCGTTGTACCGTACCGTACCATATTTTTGTGCGGGTGTCCGACGACTGCCTCCGCCGCGGCCAACACGACGACAACAACAGGCGTGGCTGCAGGAGTTCCTCACCGACAAGCGGCGACAGCTGGACTACGGCGAGGATATGCAGCGGGCTCGGCACATTCACTTCCGGGTGAGTGGGGCCTCTGCGGATGCATTCACAGAACAAAACAGCGGCGGGCGGTCAGCTAGTCGTATGGAGCCAGCCCCCTTCAACAAACCTGACCCTAAACCCTAAAACCGAGACCACGGGCGAACAGCACAAGTGGTATTTGCATTTTGTGTGTGTGTGTGTTTTTTTTTTATTATTATTAGCATCGACCGCGCTTACCGGCTGACCAATGAAAAGACGTCAGTCTTAGTGCGGTTGAAAACACAAAACACTTCTATCTGCCATGAACTGGGACCCCGTGAGGGGGCAGCATGGGGGTGTGTGTCCCGCTTGGACGTCGAACGTTTTATGGCGTGATGGCCGCAGCCGTCTCAGCTGTTCAACGTTCGAAGAACATGCTGCTTGATCTGTTGATCGCAGAAGGGGCTTGCGCGGAAGGAGTAATGTGCTCGCCTCCAGATTGTATCTACGGAATGCGTGTGGTATGGATACCTTCGGGGGGAACAAAACGCACAGCGGTTTTCCAACAAACACATAAAACCCACGTGCAGGCTTCCACAAAATGCTGCTGTACCGTACCTACTACGTAGAGGCAGGCGCCGTACCGCACAGGCTGCGCACTCCGGACTGAGACTACCACTGACCCGAAAACGACGCTACGAAACAACAGAGGCGACTATTATAGGTGGTGACACTCCGCTCGTGACCGACGAATATCCTTGCGTCGGTTGGTAAAATAATGAAAACCCTGCCATGTATTTCGTAACGTTGTACCTCCGCACCGGCCGGCGCACTCTGGACCAAAACGATGCTACTGTACTAGACCAAACAGGCGAGTAGGGACGGCTAGTCTGCCACCCCGCTCGTGATCGACGACGGCCACACACAATTTTGAGCGCTTGATCTTCGTTGCTACTGTAGGGAAAAAAAAATTGCCTCGTCTTTCGTAACCTTCCACCTTCCACCTTCCACCCCCCCCTTCCAAAAAAAAAAAAAAAAAAAGACATCGCCCGGACAGGGCCGCGAGGAGTACAGGCTCTTCACCCACTTCTACACCTTCGTGGGCTTCAGCGACCCCGTCGCGGCCCGACACCACCGCCGCCTCGTCCGAGACCTCGTCCACTTCCGAGAGTCCCTCTTCTGCGCGGCGGCGACGATAGTCGGGAGGCTCCGCGCCGCCGGCGGGGGGGACCCCGGGAATTGGTCCGGATACTACGGGGAGTGGGGGGGCCTCGGGGAGAGAGAAGGGTGGGTGGGTGGGGGGGAGGTGGCTGGGGTTGGGGGGGGGAGCTACGCGGACGAGGGCGGGGGAGGGGTACGGAAGAGGGCCGGCTTCAGCACGTTCCACATCCGACGAGGGGACTTCCAGTACGTTAGGGTGTGTATGGCGGGAGCGTGTGTGTGTGTGTTTTTTTTACGAAGGAGGCTGAAGTCGCTTGTTGGCGGTTCGTGCTTTTTTTTTTTTTGGGGGGGGGGGCGGGAGGCGGTAGAAGAATGCTCTGGCTAGATTGTACGCGTCTTACGGTTTAAACTTCCCGGACACCAGATGGCGACAAGCCCAAATTCCTAGCTCCGCGAAAAAAAAAAAAAGTTAAGTGCACGTCACATTCTCTCTAGCATCCATTCACTCTTTGGGGAGTCCTTTGTTGGATGTTCTCTCGACCTTATGCACCGTTCATGGGCAATTGGATATTTCCGTACGTGCTTGCTAGGTGCTTTGTACTGTGCTGTACTGTGCTGTACTGTGCTCTGCTTTGTTCTGCTCTGCTCTATGTTTGTACCACTCCCGTGCGTGGTTGCTAAGCAGAGCGTTGTTGCATGGTTTTATTTACTGTTGTGGTGTTCTCCAGATGAAACCGCCGGCGGAGACGATCGCTGGGGCGACGAAGGACCTCATACAGCCGGGGGAGGTGCTGTTCATCGCCACGGACGAGCGGAAGAAGGAGTTCTTCGACGTCTTTACGCACGAACACCGGTACGTACGTACGTACGTTTGGCGTCGTCATCGTCGTAGTCGTTGTGACTGGTCTCCGCGGCAGCGTCTGTGACTGACGTATGCATGCGGACGTACGTGTGTCGGTGCGCACCACCGTTTGTTCGTGCGTCGGCGCGTGTTGTTCTTGCTCTGTGCGTTGTGTTGCAACGTGCTTGGATGACGTGGAAGCGAGATTACAACAACAACAACCGGGAGTGTTATCAGCTGTTGGCTGCCACGATTCCACCCCTTGCTCGTTGTAGACTCTTTTGTTATTTACGCGATTTTGTGCACACACACACACACACACACACACACACACACAGCCGCCACGCCTTCCGTGTCAGAACCCTCCCACTGTCAGCTTTTCGTCACGGTTATAGAACAGTAGTCGAACTTTTCTGGCCCGCCATCGCCCTACGCGTCTTGGTGTCATTCGGCTTTTTTAAGCACAACGCGTGTTACTGTCTTCGCATTCGCCTTTTTTTTTGTTTTGGGGTACTCGAAACGCCGACGACCACCCGACGATACCTACGCCAACAACGTTAGCGTTGTATCTTGCATGTTTTTTTTTGTTTTATGTTGTGTTTTCTCCAACACTATTTCCCTCCTCCACTGCTGCCATCCGTCCCCCCACAAAGGGTGTTCTACTTGGACGACTTCCAGGACGTCCTCGAGGGCATCGACCCGTCCTACTACCTCATGATCGACACCATCGTGGCATCGCAGGGGAGGTAGGTTTTTCGTCGCGGTGCCGAGCTTTTGTTTGTCCTGTGCGGCATTGTAGCAAAAAGCATTGCTGCGCAGACTTCAACCCATCCCCCTCGACTTCTGCTGCTGCTGCTGCTGCTGTGGTAATATCTCCAACGGGTAGTCTCTCTCTCTCATTGTATGCGTATTTCCTAAGAACAACCATCGATACACACGCATGCCGCTCGCGCCATCGCGACCTATTTATATCACCACGACATTGATGGTCCGCTCAACCTCCGGCCCCGGATTCCTTCGACTGTGACGTCACTTCACCCCGCCGCCCCCTCCTCCCGGAACGCCACCGCAGGACGTTCATTGGGACGTGGCGAAGCACCTTCACAGGGTACATCACGAGACTCAGGGGCTACTACCGCTTCCCGACGGAGTTCTCGTGGTACTTCTGGGACGAGAGCGTCAAGGACTACATCCCCAAATCGCTCGTTGAGGTGAGAGCACGACATTGTTAAAAGGAAAAATAAATTTGTACACACACAGAAAGACTACCCATTCAAGATATACCCACGGTCGAACGGGATGTGACATTATTGATGATGGGGAGAGAGGATAGACGAGGAAGGGCATGGAGGAAGAAGCGATCCATTCGGTCGGTTACAGGTTTACGTGGGGGTGACGCCGTCGTGCTCCGGAATGGGGCTCCACCCATTCTTGTTTGTCCACGTGTTTGATATCGTTTTAACGCTGCTCCGCCCCCCCCCCCCCCCCCCCGGTTTTTGGGGGGATTAACATGCAGTGGGGGGGGGTCGGAACGCCCAACCTTTTTTCCACGCCAAAGGGCCTCGTGGGTTGGGTAAAGGCCGTTGGTTTCACGCCCCGGCCCCCCCCCCCCCCATTTTCCGCCGCTTGGGAGGGGGCGGGTAATTTTGCCCCAATCTACCCCCCCCCCCCCATGGACTATGCGAAAAAGCTGAAAATTGCAATTTCGAATAGGCGATCTGGACTTGCCAGAACGGAGGAAGAGGTATACCAGCCGTAGGAGAGAGGAAGAGGAGGATAGACACACATGTCCATGTGGCAAATCGGAGGAGAGTAGACCCCACATAGTTGGGGAGTGTGAGTTGTACAGGAAGGAAAGAGAGGATCTCGAGGAGGAAATGAGACAGAGAGGGTGTGACA